CGCTCACGGTCACTGATGAACTCATTGAAGCCTAGCGCTGGGTTAGTATTTTATTCGCGGTACCATACCGAGGGGCCGCCGACTTACCTTGTGTCTGTTGCAGAATTGTGACATACTCGGCGTGCTCGCTTGGAAGGCTCTTCAGGAATGCATCCATGTTGAAGTTGTAATACATGCCGGACTTTTTCTTATCGCCACTTGCCGGCACAAGGAACTTCTTATAGGTGTAGAATAAACTGGCGAAGCATCTGACAAACGCCGCGCGAATTTGATCCGGATGGAAGGCTGCATCACACGGCAGACACACCATGGAGGCGCAGCGGTTATGGACTGTCAACCTACACGCAGAGCATTTGTACATGTTTTCCTCTGCCAGTTCGTCACAGATAGCACAGGTCAATTTATCATCCCACACTTGGACTTGGAAATAGTGGCCCTCGGCCCAGCAAGTGCCCTCGTTATTGCCAACAGGCTGGTTTGAAGATTGGGGCATAATTGTGGATGCAGCGATGGTAGACTGCGCATACACAGATGGAGCGTATGTGGATCCTGCACCATAATCAGTGTTGAGAGTGGTCACTGAGAGATTGGAAGCATGACCCAGGAACGGAGCACTTGGACGTCGACTCATTCCAAACGACGAACTACGGCGCGAGGCGGCGTCGAAATGACCGGAACGCTTCTCGCGCAATGAAGCTTGCAATGCCATACCGGAATCATTTCGTGAAGAGGGGGCTGGTGGAGGAGGGAAGTAGCCAGAGGTAGGCGAACTCTCTCTCGGAGATGGCGGAGAGGCACCTGCTCTCATAGTGGAGCTGGTCCCTGGGCGCTCCGATCCGCGAGATGAGTACCCACGAGACGGACCGGCCTCGTTTCGGGCGTGCAGGAAAACGTTGAAGATGGGAGGTGTATAAGAGCCTGGCATCACGGCCGTTGCACCGAAGGCACTGGAGTTGAGACCGACATATTTCGCGAGATTTGTTGCAGGCGCTTTGGATGTGAAAGTGGCCTTGCTCTCTGACATGAATGAATCCCATGGGTACGTCTCGATTGCATACGCAGGAGGCCCGGTGGGTACGTTGAACCTAGTGTGCTGAGGGGCAGCGAGTTGCAGCAAGGACAGGAGCTTCCTGCGCTGATGACGCGGAAGAGAGGTCGGTTGAATGGTACTTTCGATCATATTGTTGTCCAAATCAACTAGGACAAAGTCGTCCGTGGGCAACTCCACCTTCTCGTACCGACGCTCGATACCCACGATGTATGGGCAAGGGGCCTCGAGGGCCTGGATTAAACGCGCGGGAAGGACAGGAATGAGGACGCCTGTCCATTCCAGAGGGAACAAAAGATCGATCAAGGATCTGGTCGCGAGATAGAGCATGGAGGTGTGGGAAGACAAGAAGATGATACGGGATTCGGTAAGAGCGTACTGTGCATGTGTGTGGTTAGCAATGTGGTATGTCAACTAAACTAGCGAATCAAGCCTACCTCAAAGAGAATGATAATATTAGGAACCGACAAAGTGCGGAACAAGGCATAGAGATCAGTCTGGAAATCAGTCAGCAAAAGTTTCAAAAAAGAAGTTAATCCAAGAAGTGCGGTTCACGTACATTCCGAGAACCAGGGATCTCATTGGGAGCCTCTTTGCGTGCAAATAACCGTAGCTCACGAATCGCAAGCTCGACCTGAGTCTTCGAAGATATTGGACAGAATGCTTCTGTACAGAGATTCATGACATATCGCTCCAGCGGCTGCCATACACCCATGCGCGGCGAGGCCGGAGGCACGTGTTGTAGACTGCCCTCCGTCATGGGCACCACAATAGCCTTGAGCCATTCCTTCCAGAAGCTCGTCATCGTGCTCTCTCGGCCCAAGATACCGTAGGCACGGGGAATCCAGAAGCCAGTATCACCATCGGTCAGACCCTCGATCTTGGAGGCCGCGCCATGCCGGACCGGACGAAGCAGATCGGTCATTAGGCCAATTTTCTCCTCCACGGCGCTGATATCATCTTCGAGTTGTTCGCGGGATTCGGATCCTGACGGGACGGTCGGTAGCTGGGCTAGGAGCCGGGATAGTTTGGCCCGCTCTGATGCTAATCGTTCACCCAAGCTTGCAGCCAGTTCACGCTCTTCGTCGGTCATATTGTCCTTTCTCCATTCCTCGCAGCGCTTCTCGAGTTCCTCCGCAGCATTTGGGTTCAACGGTATCCAAATAATCACACAGATGGCGTGTAATCTGGAGCCATTGTCCGTTGTCATGGCAAATCCATGCCAGGTAGAGCGAGGTCGTTGATCGGAGGAGACGATGTTGACATCATTCGGAAAGGCGAACATAGGAACGTAGTCGGGGAAATTGCCGCGCTGCTTCGTCTCGTCTGGCATGCCGCGTGTGGGGTATCGGTCGAGGAGAACGGGCTCGAATCGTCGTTTCAACGGGTGCATCGTAGGAGATATTTCGAGAGGTTGCGGAACAGGGATTACTGAATTGTAGTTGCTAAGTCGCCGCGAAGTGCGCACCGAAGCTGGAGATAATCCGTCAGCTAGTGCATTTTTTTTTTAAAAAAAGGGTCCCAGCCACGATCCGGTTCCATAATGATTAGGGAATGGAATTAGAAAGGGAGCTCTTACCTTGACGAGCAATTGACGGTTGCCGCTTCATACTATTCATATCCCGAAAGGCCATGTGGCGTCGCACGCTCCCAATACCCGACCTCAACAAATTACCGCTAGGTGCGGGTGAATCGTCGGAGACAATCTTCTGCGTTCGAACCCTCGATCGCGGGCGGGTATTCGGTGTAATAGCGCCAGCACTCAAGCTCAAGTCGGTTAGAAAGGACTCACGCTCGTTGGCGAACTTGAACAGCGCGGAGTCGAAATCGAAGTCCTCAGAAAAGAGAGCCGAGGCACGCAGGGGTGACGAGGCACCCTTGACGGTCATACTGCTCCGGTTACTGTTACTGCCAGCAGCATTTGTGCCTTCTGAACCCTTTGAGAGTGTGGATAGTCGTTGGGTAGAGCCCCTGTGACCAGCGAAGAGCGTCGAGTTTGGCCGGGAGACATCCGAGTTATGTTCCTCCTCCGCATCAGCATCTTCTTGAATGGTATCTGCTAGCGCAGGTCCTGGAGATGCAGCACCATTGGCACGGTAATCTTCTCCCAATCTCTGGAAGGTATCCAGGATCTCTGTACCATCCACACCGGCTATCCAGAAGTAGTCGGCTAGAGGAGCGCCCTCAGAGTTGCTTGACGATGGCATTGTGGAGAGAGTCACGGCGGACTGTTGGTTAATACCTTAATTGTTACCACATGGATATTATTAGGAGAAGGAATGAGGGGGGGGGGTTGAGCGCATGTAGAGGGGGAAGCTGGTAAAAATGGGGGAGAACGGGAGGGAGGGGCAGTTCAAAGCGAAGATCAATTTTGGGGGGTTTAAGGTCATAACGTTGTATTAAAAAAGGAGGTCTTTTGTGTGTGTATTCTAGGGTATCATTTCTATCCTTTCTTTCTGCAAGTATTTTATTATTATTATTTATTATTTATTTTCTTTTCTTTTTTTTTAAATTTTTTTCTTAACGGGTAGTTGCTGTATAGGAATAAAAGAAGTGAGCCTGGGCCATTTCTATGCACAAGAATTTTGACCTGCAGGCACGGGCTGGACTTTAAAAGGGGATACATCCGGGGTATATAAAGGTTGGTATTTCCTGTACACACACCCCCAGGGGTTTGTCAATGATCCATGGTAGTAGAAAACTGGGTCTTTTAATGTTCATCTACACGACCTCCAGAGCTACCTACTCTGTACTCCGTACGGAGTACTCCGTAGTAAGATGGACTTTATACTACACTGTTACTATGCTAAAAAGGGCTCTTTCTCTCTTTTTTTTTTAGGGGTTTAGCTTAGTACGCCACAATGTCATTCTTTTATCTCGGGACTTTCAGGGGGTGAGACGATCAAGTACTTAAGGAGTAGGCTTTCAAGTACAGTGTACATATGCACCATGTCGGAAATCATCTTTTCAGTAAACAATTGCTTTCTTTTATAATAGAATCTAGTACTCCGTCCAACATACACTTTCTATAATAAGTTGAACTGGGTTTCGAGGAGGTAAGTGGAGCTGAGACGATCCATACTATAGTCGGGCAATGTGGAGCAGGGGGGTGTGAAGTTGCCTGTTATAAAAAATTACCTACAACATACAACATACTCTGTACATTGTAGGCAAACCCATATACTCTGTGTGTATTTTAACCCTATATCTCTAACTATAAGTCTGCGTATGTATACATATACATATACTCCTAATTTACGACACTTCCCTACAATATCCTTTTGCAACTGTTCCCAGGATTTCCAACTTGAAGGTTTTAGGGTTATTTCAACACTATACATTAGTACGTGCATATATGATGAGGCGGTGGAGATCAAACCTCTTCAAAGTAAAAATTAAAACATTGGAAATTTTGATAATGATCTTTCACTACAGAGTCTAGACTCTATAACCCCATAGGGTTGAAAAATCTGGACTCTTTAGGACTTTACGTGGAGTATACGTACCCAACCCATATGTGACATCCCGTACGGAGTAGAATACGTGGCCTTGGGCTGAATGAATTCCACTTTTCTTTATTTTAAAAATTTTTTTTATAATGAGCAAATACCCAAATTATCCCCAGAACCCCGGAGCTTGCCGGGAAGCAACTGCCGTGCGATAAAAATTAAGCGTTGGCTGCATGGCAAGGCTGGTTTCCGCCCGTGCTAGTGGCGCCAGAGAGCACATTGGACCATTACACTCTATTCTGAAGCCTCTTGCGTTGGATATGCCAAGAGAAGATATTACACACTAAATTTAAGAGAATGCCAATAATATTGTGTGGGCCATAAATGTGTACAAACCGCCCTTGCTCCATGCAACTCAGCGGCTGGATGCACCAATCCAACTGGAGTTCCATATCGTGATACAATAGCGGAAACGATCCGGTGAGTCAGTTGCACACCGCGTTTCAAGTGCGTTTCCGGCTCATTAAGTTGCCCGTCGTCAGGAACCCCTTGTCTCCCATGGCGCCACGCCATTCAATCGACAACTGACCTAGCGTGACACGACCGTCCCGTCGCAGGTCCTTCTGGAGAGTTTCAAGTCCCTCGTTCTGGCCCTCTTCTTGTTCCATCAAAAATGCTACTTGTAGGACATCCCGTGGATTGAGTGTGGGTAGTGCCGTCATGTCCAGGTTCATCGTCTCCCAATTTAGCGATTTTGATTGGAACGGTGGCTTAGGATTTAGTTTTGTTTGCTATCCATCCCTCAACGTTAGCCAAGTTGTTGAGCATTTCCGCCCCCGGTTATCAGGTACACTTCGCCGTGGCCCCCCCCCCCCAATTCGCTGGGGATCGATAGGAAATTCATACCTTGACTACCACCGCGCCCTCACCCACGTTTTCCAATTGTGCCTCCAGGGCAAACCGGAGTAACCTAGTCTTCCCGTACGGACCGAGTGACTTATTATCTACCTCAAGTGGCGGCAGTTCGGATGCCTTGGTCCGAACGCTCAAACAGGGCTGTGCCACAAACTGGTATAGCTTGCGGAAGGTCCTGACCCGGCCACTAGCTGCCTGGGAGTCTGAGCCAATCTTTGTCTCTGTATAGCTGACACTGACAGCTAGTATATGGTTTCCTTCCTCCTTCAAATCAAACCGTAGGATCTTTTGTAATGATTCGCCGATCTTGAGCCCGTCTGCTGATGCAGAGTCACTGGGTGGCTCCAGCTCCAGTGCTGCGACTGACGAAGGTGTTTGCATTTCGGCTACTATGCGAACTGATGTAAGGACTCTCTCATTGTCGTCATCATCGATCTCATTGTTCGTGCTGAGCGTGCATCCGAAGGTTTCCCCGACGTAGACGGACCCGAAGGAGGGAGGTAAAGTAAGCTATTGTCGTTAGTGAATAGCTTCTTTGCAAGGGCTTGATCACAGTCTCACAAGAGGCGCTAAAATGAACTGATCATCGGAGTTACCGGATGGACAGCTTAGCGAGGCTTTCGTGGAGATTATACTGTTAGACATCGGGAGGGGATATTGATAGGAAAGGGACGGTCGCGCGAGGCTATGTATTGAAAGTTAGGAACTGCCATCAACCCCAAGATGTGGATAACTGGAATTACCGCAACACTAATCAATAATTAGCTTGCAGGTCCAACAGTGGGTTGTATTCACATACCTTTTAGGGAGACCGCATGTGGTTCCTTCGGGGCATCAGCGCCCGACAGAGCCCGCGGACGTGACATTGGAGAATAAACTTAGATATCAGTTCCAGAGGAAGAATAAAATGGATCAAAGAATCAACTGCAATGCCGGACTCTGCAGTATAGCGTCATCTTGTCGATGAAGAGGGACAAGTCCACAGTTCTCCACGAGCTGATAGCGATAGGGAAGCTTCCCCAAAACAAACAGTGCAAACGTCCACTCTTTCTAAAGTGTGTGCCACCTCCAAGGACTTCAAGGTCGACATCTCCTCTTACTGTCTCACTACGCATGGATGCGTACAATTGTTGTCAAACAATTGATTTCCTACTATTTGACTACATACGTATTATGTTTCTAGGTAAGTTTGGCCATGTGTTGAACTGCTCGATTAGTGTCATAGCTCCCTGGGGGATGCTACCTAATAGGGAAGAAGCTTGGATTTCTTTAGGGCTGAGTATGTATATATAATATGTACGGTATGTCCTACTGTGTATAGTGGACAAACAACCCATACTGTCTCCTTATTCCTCCGTATACCAAAGTTAATGCATAAACGGTGAAGCACATCTAGAACATGTCCTACTTACTGACAGCTTTCTGAGACTTCATGCAAAGTCATATGACACTCCACGTGGGGCCTTCTTTGAGTGTTGCTTCCCACGGAATACACATGTAACTAGCCTTTTCTTTATTATATTTGCAGTATAAGACCTCAAAGTTATTCCATGTTCCCCTGTCTTTCCTAAAGGTACTACTCCCAGGACCGAGAACAATTCAAATTGCGCATCGCAATCCTTCCAGTGTCATGCAAGTATCCATGCCTGAGAAACGCACGCTTCCATGGCTAAACACACTTACCAAAGACTTCTTAGAAAGAGATATACGCAATGAGAAACAAATGTAAGTAAATATCGAGGTCTAGCATACTTCAATGGGCTAATCGGCGTTCCTTTTAGCATGTCTATCACTGCACACAATATCGGCGGAACCAAAGATGTCCCGGAAATCTCATTTGATGTTGTTGGATCTACCGGTAGTGTCTACAAAACGATCATTGGGAAAGTACCTCGCTGTAACTGTCCGGATGTCAGATTCCGAAAGGCGCAGTGTAAGCATATCTGCTTTGGTAAGTCTCAACAAAGCCCAGTACATATAGAATACTGCTTCGTGTACATCCCTACTGCCAGTCTCAGACCTTTTTATACTAATGCGTTGTCAAGTCCTATCCGCAATGGATGTCCCTGGGATACTGAGGTACCAAAGATCATTTTTGCCGTCTGTGAGTTATTGCAAGCATCGATCGAGTATCATACTATTTATACACACCCCTGACCAAATTACGCGTTAATAGGAGCTACGTCAGATGCTTGCTTCATCATCCTTGGAAAATATCGAGGACAAGAGTACTCTTATCTCGGCCAAGAGAAGGAAGCCTGTCGAAGGCAAATGCCCAATTTGTTTCAATGGGTTCAGCAGCCAGGGAACTATGTTGTGCCATGCATGCGGCAACAATGTCCACGAGGCTTGCTTTAAGGAGTGGGAGACCATTATACATGCGTCTAAGGATGTTGTCTGTTGTCTTTACTGGTAAGTGATAACAGCTTATATGAGGAAGAACTTGAAATCTAACAGCGCATTTAGCCAAGTGCCGTGGAAGAGGGATTGCGTGGAATCTATTAAATAGAACGAATCTTTAGATATTCTTTTAAAAAAAAAAATAAAAAAAAAGGAATGAAAGGTCTTACCCGGGTTCGAACCGGGGTTGGTGGAAAGATTTCCAATAAGATATCAAAATCCACAGTCATAACCGCTAGACCATAAGACCATAAGACCAACTAATATTGCAAGGGTTCTTTCAGAGCATATTAAAAGAAACAATTCCAGAATGTATCAGTTTCCTGTCCTTTTACTTCAGGCAGTTTTTCTTTGGGAAATATAGGAATGTCTTATTTTAAGATAGCTATCATTGATACTCTTCGGTTCAACCATGCATTGCTCTATCATTAGGCTGGGAGTAACAAGAGATTAGTTACGATTTATCGGAGAAATTATCCTCGAAATCGGGAATGTGTTCGAAGGCGGTTCTGGGATGAGGTAAACATGTTTACACTGCCCAGCTGGATACTATGCATAGTATCACAAATGACATCTGGAACTCTTCAATGTCGAGTCTTGATACTGCTTATTCCTACAGTTAGAATATGTTACAAAACTCATTCATGCTGTCGGTCAAGTCAATTATGACAAAAAAAAAAGCAGCTCCAACCTGGGTATCAAATCAAGCTCCAACGGCCCAACACACAAAAATCAAAAAAAGCCACCAACACTCTTAACTCCCCGTAATCCAAGAACATCAAAGGCAAATTCTTCTATGTGTCCCTTTGAAGCGGATGACCCTGTCGAACACTCGCGACACTAACACCTTCCTCGCCAGTCATCCACGATGGCATACGTTCAGGGTCAACAATGCCTAACTCCGCAAGTTTGCGAATCCCGCCGATAACGTCGGAGCCCGAGAAAGTGAGTGAAACTGTAGGTAGCGTGGACAAAGAATCATCAACATCGTCAGTAACATCATCCTGCTCCTCACTCGATCCCGGCTTATCAAGTAGTCGAATATCAAGACGGTCCAGCGGTGCCGGGGCAACTGATGACCCCAATGTTCCGAATCGGGAGTGGATGGCCAGACAGCGTTTTTTCAAGTCCGGAGACAGGGGGATTCTATCCATACCATTGGATCTTCGTTTCGTCGCCAAGCCATTTGTGTTTTCTTTGCGTTCTGCTGGGCCCGACTGACCCGCTTGAATATGCTCTTCAGGTGAGACTGTATTGGAAGGTCTAGGGTCCAACGGACTTCCTTCAATGGCTGCATCTGCAAAAACGCTGAAGGCGCCATTTGATGCCCTTGATCGTCCAGGTCCGCGGAGAGCTAGAAGTGTGGGTAGATTTTTTGCTGCCAGGGATGTCGCCTGCAGAGAGAATCGTTCCTGTGGGCGGGATAAAGCCTTGGGAATAGAATCGCGGACCAGACGCTGAAGAGTTCGAGTATCCGTAGCGGCTGAGCTTGTCGCAGGAGCAGCTTTTGACCCGGTGGACGATGCTATGGATGTGTAGACGTAAGGGCAACTATCCGGAAAAGCGACGTAGATGACCCGGGACGAGTCGGTGAAGATCTCGGCTGCCTGCCTCGGGGATTGATATGGCGAGTCAACAACAAAGATCCGTAAGAAAGTTAGTGGCAGTGTTGCTGAGTGGGCGAGGTGATAGTGGGCCTTAACCAATGGGGATATTTCTCGTTGGAGGCCTTGCACAAATGTTGCCGCTTGCATTCGCGGTACAGTACCGGACCAGTCAGTGGATGGTATTTCCTTGGAGTTCTTGCGATTCATATCAATACGACTGAGCTCGAGCGCGGTCCATCGCAGGCTAGCGGGGTGGTCATCCATATAGCGGAGGTCTGCCATGGCCAACTGACGCAGTGTGATACCCTGCCGCCAATCGCCTTCCAGTATTCGTTCGAGAACTTCGCGCTTTGCACCCTTGCGGTCCTTCAGGTCTTCATATACCTGGCGGACTTCTTCGATTGTCTCTCCCGCGGGGTAGGGCAGAGCTTCGTCATCGTCGGGGCCATCTGCGCCGTCGGCTTGTAGATATGGTGGGAACGAGACGATATTGCGATCGTCAAGCCAAATAAATACCAGGTCCAGTAGCGCTTGCCTCGATAGCCTTCCCAGAGATTTTGCGAGGGACGGAGTCGACGAGGGAATACGGAGGTTATTTGGAAGGCTAGCTGTTGTCGGGGCGCGAACTGTTTTAGGGCGCGCCATGGTCGTAATTGACAAGGTATGGCCAGTACCTGGGAATGTTCAGAATTCTCTTAGATCAATAGCAGGCATGGCTCTAGACCCATATCTTGATCTGTTCCTCTGCTGTGCAAGTTCTTGTCCAAATTCTAAAATCGACCTCCAGGGCTGTCAACAAACATGCACGTGTCGATAAGCCGATAAGAACAACATGATTATGCCATCTAGGCGGTGAGCTTCAAGGTTGGCACTTACTGGTCACCTGACCCAACCCAATCTTCATACTTCATCCTTCTGTTCCTCTGTTCTTCAGTTGTACATAAATAGAAGCATCAATCTAGACGTATTTACTTCCTAAAGATTTCAAGATGAAGATATATTTTCTCTAAATTGGAGAAGACCGAAGATAACACACAGCGTACATATTTAAATATGTTGTTATACTAGCCCACTTCTTCCCCAACTTAGGTCAATATACCTATGTAGATACTTATAAGTATACTCATCTCGTTGGGGCTCCAAGGTTACACCCGTACCCGAAAGGGGACTGACCAGCATATTATGATAACTATGATATGTTGTCTTGTATGGTGGATATGCACAAGATATTGATGACTTTAGACCGAGGCTGAGATTCTTGCTGACAAAGGTGTGGGTCATTCTGCTCGCAGGTGCCAAGGTTGAAATGTTGAAAGTTGCAGGATGCCCATGGACAGTTGTTTTAAGCGAACTTCTTGACCTCCAGGACCTCCTTTCGCTCTCGATCCTAGGAATCACAATATACGCTATTCTTCTCCTGCTGTAAATCAACATCTTCTTCAATATGGAGGCAAACAAACGCCAAAATGTTGCTATAATTGGTACAGGGATGGCTGGACTAGTTGTCGCATACATGCTCAGGAATGATCATCGGGGGAGATTCGACGTGGAAGTGTTTGAAAAGGTATTGTTTTCTCCCGTGGCACCGCGCAAACTAAAATTAATAAACTACACAGCAAGACAAACTTTCTCTCGACTCTGCATCATACAATCTCACAAACCAGAATGGCGGAGGCGCAAAGCCCGAACGTCTCGATCTTCCCATGCGCACATTCGCCGACGGATACTACGAAAGTCTCAAGAGAATGTACGATTATTTTGGTATTCCGTATGGCCCGCTGCGGTTTATTTACTCGCTATCGACTCTACCGGACAATTCCACAAAACAAACCTCTCCGTACTATATGCATTCCTCGAATAACCATCAATTACCTCCCTTGCGTCCCACGGGCTTATCATGGACTGGGTGGCTGATCGAGGTGTGCTATCTGGCAATGTGTTATTATTGGTTTAAGGCCTGCTGCTTCTTTGTAGCGCCCAAAACGCTGGAGTCATGTGGCACCGAGGAATCTTTACGTCAATATGTGGAGAGGATCATGTTGCCCAGTTATTACGTGAAGCGCTACTTCTTACCGGTCTTCGCAAGCGTTGCCACTTGTTCACACGACGCGCTGATGGATTCCCCGGCACTTGACCTAGTTGATTATGGAAGACGAACCTTCCGCAAAAACCACCATACTGTTCTCGGCGGTGTTCAGCATGTTGAGCAAAAGCTGTCCGAAGATTTGACATATAAACTTGGCATGAAGGTCACAGCGGTCGAGAATGTTGGCACAAAAGTTCAAGTGAGCTGGACAGATACTTGCGATGGCCAGAGCAGCTCGCGGCTATTTGACCATGTCATTCTGGCCGTCACACCTGATGTGGTTGGCACGATTTTCCAGCCTCTCCGAAGCGCAATGAAGGCCGTTCCAACTACGACCGTCCAATCCGTTGTGCACCGCGACTTTTCCCGAATTCTGGATTCCAGCAAATCCATCTGGGCGCAAGTATCTTTGGGCCCCGGCGAACCAGCACCTCACCCACTCCATATGTGCTCAAACGGTACGGCAACTGAGACGGTCCATGAACATCCGTCATCCGCTCTTATCACGACTTATCCTATTGCTCCGATCGACCCTGAGAAGGTCTTGCACACTGCCACATTCACTCGTGTTTTGCGATCAACCACCAGCAGACAAGTCGTCAACCAGATTTTCGGCCAAAACAATTCTGGAGGTGAGAAGAGCCAACTCTGGCGGAATGGAGATGGAAATGTCTGGCTGGTTGGTGGCTGGTGCTGGGACGGGATGGTCCTGCTCGAGGGCTGTCTCGCTTCTGCGACCAGGGTAGCAGACGCCCTTGATGTCGAGGTGCCTTGGATGAAAGGGTCATCCTTATAACGACTGTCAAGAACATAACGAGACTTTCATGGGCATATTTGCTTTAGGCATTTATAAATGTTAATATACCAGTGGACATATCCATTATACATAGCACATACGATGTGAACAAACACATAATGAACATCCGACGTTTGCCATGATATAATAATCTGCTACAGTCTGTGGCCCGCAGGCTATCTACTCCGATCCGCTTTTCTCGCTGTCTCTGTCCATCTCGCACTCACTACAACGTTCAGCCTAGAACCCTATACAAACCAGGTGCGCAATAATAAGGGTACATGGCAATGGGCACTGTTTAACCCAATCAGAAAGCCGAACTGGGAGAATCTAGTGTGTCACTTACACATATGGGATCACCGAGATGATTAGATCCTGGTGGACAGGTATTCAATGGTCCACAACATCCTGGCAGAGGACCACTATTGATGCATGTGAAGTCACCCGGGCACTTGTTTTTGGCGGTTATTTCAGTGTCTTACAAGGGTACAGTTGGGAACTTACACATGTTTTCGACGACTGACAGAAAGGCTGACTCGTAGGGCAGTTGATACAATTGCCGTCAACGCAGCCTCCACCTCCCGGTCCGAAATTGCACTATCAAAGGAAACAATAGTCAGTTTGCCCATTCAATGCGTGATACAGAAAGCATCCAATGCAAAGGGGGAAGCACATACAACTGTATTGCATAATCCACAATGCTTTACATCAGTCGTCAAATCAACACACACCCCACCACAGCAAGCTGGCAACACGCCAGTACAGGGCGCAGAATTGCAAGATCCACAATGCTGCAAACTGGTAGCCAGGTCAGTACACTGCCCAAAGCAACAGTCACGCTGTGTTCCACCACACGGCAAACTCAAACAAGAATTACAGTGGTTGGCGTCACCATCCTGGTGGACACATGTCCCCGAACAGCAAGCCTGATTGACGCCAGTACACAGACTCGTTGAGCAGGATCCACAGTGATCAACATCAGTCGCCAGATCTGTACAGACACTAGAGCAACATGCCGGTCTAGAGCCCACGCACTGGGGAGCCGCGCAGCTGCCGCAGTGCGCAAGATCTGTGCTAATATCTTTGCAAACACCGTCACAGCAGACTGGGACAACGCCGTGGCACTGGACCGAGCATCCGCCGCAGTGGTTGGGGTCTGTGAGGATGTTGGTGCAGGTTCCTGAGCAGCAGCTTGGTTCGTTTGCTGGGCACTTTTGAGCTGTTAGTACAGTCACTTAGTGTCCGGGTTATTTGACACGAGAACCAGGAAACCTCACTGTTGTATTACATGTCCCGCAGTGTAGTGTATTAGTAGCTAGGTCAGTACATTGGCCAGAGCAGCAGGCTGGTCGGAGCCCAACGCACGGTGAAGCTGAACAAGAGCCGCAATGATTTGGATCGGAGGTTAGATCTGTGCATGAACCACCACAGCATGCAGGACTCGCACCGGTGCACTATTGTATGGTATCATATAAGCAATATTTCCATTGTGAATGCCGTTATATCATGCCAGGTAGGGCAATAGGTTCACTAACAGCACGATTGCAAGCTCCACAACTATTTATATTTGAGGAAACATCAGTGCACGCCCCAGAACAACAGGCAGAATTAAGACAACGACAGTGGGGGGCGCTGCAGGAACCACAGTGTAAGGGATCACTACTCAGGTCCGTACAAGTCCCAGAGCAGCAGGCTGGCGTAGTCCCGGTACACTGAAATTTGCCAGGTGAGTCATTTAGTAGAGTAGTAGTACATATAAACTAGCTGTTGGCTTACCGTATTACTACATGAGCCGCAATTGGTAGCTGAGGTCGCAAAATCAGTACATTTGCCCGTGCAGCAGCCAGCCTGCAGTCCCAGACAGGGGAATGCATTGCAAGAGCCACAGTGCCAGGGGTCAATGGCGAGATCGGAGCAGAAGCCTAAGCAGCAGGCCGGTGCTTGACCAGTACACTATTGAGTAACATGCGTCTTAGTAGATGCACCTTCAATGCTGTGCTAGCAATATACTCCATTCGAAATGGGGCTTCACTCACAGTTCTACCACATGCACCGCAGTTGGCGAGGCTATTATTAAGATCTCTACACACACCAGAACAGCAGGCTGGTTGGGTTCCAGTGCACTAATTTAGTGTATTTTGGATCAGACGATATCCTAAGAACTTCGGTTGATTCTATACTTACTCGCGGTGCATCACACGCTCCACAACTATCAACACTCGAACTCAAATCCGCACATACTCCATCACAACAAGCTGGTGGTGAGCCGATAACACACTATAGATGACAAGAAATTGTGAGAAATGAGTCTGCAGAGTAATAAAACGCAGTCAAGACATACTGCGGCTCCACAAGCTCCACAACTTCCTGCGTTCGATGATATGTCTGTACACATGAAGAAACAGCATTGTAGTTTCTCTGCGCACTAATTGTGTATGATAATAGTTTCATCAATTATTACTGTCACTATTTGCTTATGCCTAAACTCTTCGCATGGTCATACTCACATTCGGAATCCAAGGGACACAATAGGTAACATCTTGCTGTGGGCTGTGTATATCAAGCGAGGCGACCTTAGATGTGTTCAGGGGGTTGGCCTTGACATGGTCGTAGAAAAGACCGAGAACTCCTTGACAAAATTTAGAATCGAAAATATATCACTCATAGAGAGCAAAGGGGTTTCTAACCTAAATGAAGAAAGGCAAACATCTGTACAGAGGGCCACATGCAGTAATACTAGACAATATATCGCAAATGAGTAAAGTGGTTTTTTGGCACCGCAGATAGAGAAACTGAAAATAGTCTTATATTGTGTGATAGAGTAGAATCTTCAAGGGTCTTTTTCCTGTGTCACTCAAGACCAAATTCATCTAATACCTCGCCAACTTGGAAGTATGGGATATATATCAACCTAATGGGTTCAGTAGTAAATCAGTACTAATTTGGATATAGTCTCTCCGTTTAAGATCCACAATGTTATATATATTTCATGTACAATTGGTTCCCCCCCCCCTGGGCCTCGATGGATATATTTAGAGTAAAGAGCCTTATGCATGTCAGATGTTACAGTTGTAGGGAATAGTATCATCTGCCACACGAGTTAAAAACCGACCTCTCTCACTAGGAGATATTTGTGTTACCTGTTACCCATTAGTTAGATAGCACGAACAAGTTCAGTTAGACAGGAGTACATGTAGCTTTATGAACCAGTGTTTTCTTCAAAATAAGCTCAGTGTGTCGAATACAAACATAGAATTCAAGTAATATCAATAGTACCTGCCTGAGCAGACGAAAAACCTTCGATGTGACGCTGAGCCGATTTTTGATTCCCGGTAACGATCTATCAACAAGATAGCTTAAAGAAATCAAGGTTGCTTCATTATTGTAGAAACATGTAGAAATGTAGCCGCTAAAATTACACTTTTTATAATTACGTTTCCCTAATGGGAATATGATATATTCATTGCCGATGAACAGCCTCCTCCGCTTGCATTTCAGCCTCAGCTGCGTGTCCTTCCTGGACAGCTTCATAAAATGGCGCAAACTTGCTCTTCATCCTCAATCTCTTACCGAAGAAGTAGAATCCAATGGGAATAGGAACAAGGACGGCTGCGACGCATCCGAGAAGCGTGGAAGCCCACTGGATACCCATGCCATTGAACATTTGGCGCGAGAAGAGCGGGAAGCTAGCTGCCACCATTGAGCGGCAGAATGTGTTTGCTGCGATGGCCGATGCGGCGCTGTAGATAGTAGGTTAGATAAGCCCATAAACAGTTTGAGGGATGGAGATCATGACATACAACATAAGATATGTGTCAATCAGATAATTGAACAATTGGATGAAGATGACCAGGAGGCCAAATCCAGTAAATAGGCCACTCAAGGTGGGCACGATCCAATGAACGGTACCACTGAAGCCAGTCCATCCAAACCAGAAGAGCCCAGCCGCGAAGAGACCACCGCCGACCATCACTGGTGGAAGACGCCACTCGGGGATAGGGACACCACCGTTCATGTCGAGTTTCTTATTATAGGCCTTGCTAGAGATGAGGATGTAAGACGTGGCGATGAAAAGACCCACTACCATGCCGAATAGTGGGAGACCTCCAACACCAGCGTTCATACCGTAAACACCCTGGAAGACCAGGGTGTAGGCGGTCAAGAAGCAATAGAGCAATCCATAGATAAAACTTAGATAGATAGTGACAGCTAATATCAACGGCTCGTTAATCAGTAGGCGAAGCGGGCGAGAGAAGTTGTTTATAATCAGCTCGCGAAGATCGACCTCGATTTCCTCTTGCTTCGCATGGATTCCCCAGTTCTTAGTCCGGCGACGCAGCTCCGCGGCCTTATCCACAAGGACCACAGGTGGATACGACTCCTTCAGGAAGAAAAAATTCAGGAGGAAAGCGGCAAAGCCCATGAACGCGGGGATGTAGGCAGTCCAGCGCCAACCGAGATAGGACATGTTAATGAAGCCACCGATGAAAGGTGCTAGCAGAGGGCCTAGGAACACCGTCGAGGCGAACATGGCAATAGCAACACCACGGGTGCGGTTGTCCCAGATATCAGAGAACACAGCAGCTACAACTGCCAAGGGACAACTGCCGAAGATCCCGCAGAAGAATCGGCAAATCATGAGTGTTTGCAAGTCTTTTGCGACTGCCACTGCGATGTTAAAGATGCCAAATCCGAACATGGCGATGACAATGGGAATCCGACGGCCCTGGAGTTCGGATAGGGGAGCCCATATCAGGGGACCTGAGGCGTAGCCAACGATGTATAGAGAGCTAGAGAGGATGGCAACTTCGAGGCCGACGCTGAAGTGGCTCGACACATTGCTAGATGAAGCACTGAAAACGGCGGAATCGAAGGTGGAGCAAATACTAGTGAAGGCGAGGATGACACTAATGTAGCATCTGAGTTGGGTAGGTCAGTATTAGAAGATGGACGCTGCGGTTTAAATACGCAGTACGACATGGAAATCATGATGAAACGACTCACTTCCTTTTCACAGGCCAGTTCAGCGGGTATAACGGGTCATCTGGTCCATCAAACTCCACAACGTAATCCTCCCGTGCAGGGAGAGGTGGAGGGTAGGGTTTGCCCCCACCAAAAGCTGGCAATGGAGTTCGCGACGGTCGTGAACGAAGACTCTCACCCACAGTGAGCGCATGTTGGGCACGTTGCGTCTCGGTCCTACTCAATGCTCGCGATGCCCCAGTTCGATGACGTTCCAAGTCTAACTCTGTATTCCGCGATTGCAGCCTATGTATTTGCGGGTCATATTCGAAGGAGCTGCTCGAGCCAGTTGATGATCCAATAGAGCCTGACGTAGTAGGCCTCTCTATTTCAGCCGAGTTCCGTGGCTTTTCGTTCGATAGATGGGAATCTTCAGCCTCAGGCAACTGATCGGCCATATTGCCAATTGCGACCGCTTTATCAATTGGTTATAATCTGGTCGATCTCGCAGATCTTCTTGGCTGCAGTCTCTTCTTTTCCCCGTTGGGACCTGTCAGATATCGGGGAGGTCCAGGTTGCCTTAAATATGTAGAAAAGTCTTTTTTTTTTTTCGCCATCCAAGCACGGGCAATTTGTTTATGAAAACTTTTTCCCAAAAAAACGGACCGAAAGCAACTATGATCGTCTAGACCCACCACTTAGCGGCTTCAATTTAGGATAACTGCCGAACTTTTCGGGTAAAACGGAATTCGATGTTCCTATTTATGAGGACATATTATCAAAATGATTTGTATATACAACATAGACAAGTTGTATAGAGCTTTAAGAAATGAAGGTACAGGGGACTTCGGTAATCCCGGACCTCGGGAGTCCTCTTTACGTCATTATGAATCAGCCACAGGCTATATTAAGGACTTTTTATACAGAGATTTTTAATCTACAACATACCATACGGAATATTCTTTGTTTCTATATACCATTCAAGGTGTGGAGATTGGGCATACATGGTCCACAGCCCACTATATACAAACGGAGTACTCCGTACTCCGTATGTATAGGAAAAATGTCTCAGACTTCTTGATCTCGGAACAGCCTCTTATTTTTGGAGTTCCTCTTCCGTACAACCTTAAAAGTCCAAACCCAAGGACTTGTTTCTTTCAATATGATCAAGTCATTTCTCTACCAAGAGCTTCAGCCCAGGTATCACTTAAGCACAGAACCCCTTGGAATCTCAGCTTGTTCCTACTTATCTCGGCATATCCGAGTGGTTGAGTTCCTGTTTCCAGATTGTCAAGACCACCCTTGGAACTAACTGGTAGTTTGGGAGGGCCAACAATAAAGAGATAATGGAATGATAATCGCGTGCTAGTTAAATTGATGTTATCCTAAATGTGTCTGGATCTACGAAGATATTGGCAATTGTGAAGTTCAAATTTATAGTCAGTATCGGCATTGAACAAAAAAAGGAGGGATAGTGCTGGTCGGTTTAACACATTCCGTATGTAAGTATTCAAGGTATAAGGCAAGGAGCCACTACCATATATATGCGCGGAGAAGCGTATATAATCATAATGAGAGGCAGTGCCTGTAGATACGAGACTGTAATGGGTCGATGTCTGGCAATTTGCTTTATTATATCTAACCAGTTACTCTCAGGTGGTGCAATGCCGGATGCATATCTCATGGTAACATTTTCAATGCCGACTAGGTTGCACGTCACGTCGTTAAAGACCGGTCGTCAACCTTAAGTACTAGGATCCCTTTTGAACGGAGAAAGGTGGGAGTAGCGACTTCACTCGCAGTGGCCTATATCCAATGTTAGAACGATGCTCCGGTATTGAATTCCCACAACGGCTTGGAATTCATCTTCCATGATAGCTATGAGTACTCGATTGAAGCCGCATTCGCTCATCTTGATATGTGGGCCTATATCTATCAAGATCTTCACCAGCATGCAGCCTAAAGTTGGCTATATGAATGAGGGGATCCACTGAAAGCTGCGCAACGACCCTGCAAGGAAATATTGCTCGTGTTACTCTATCAGTCGCGTCTTTCGAAAATATTACATCTGTGAGTTGAAACCTGGCTCTCGGTTCGCTCTCGGCACACGGGGTATGTAGAAGGCTAATCATAAAGACACACGCGAAACAGACCGCTTGACCTTGGAAAACCTCACTCCTTCCTCGCAACAACCACAACACCTCTAACGATGCTTCCCTTGGCCCACCACTCAAAAACAAATCGCGCCGCACGGTACTTCCCCATTTTAATCCCAAAAGGTCTGGCCTCTCCAGCCCTGCGCTTTATGAAATCCGCCAATCCCTTAAACACGTACTGCGAGATATCTCGGACCTCAATAAACGCAGGATTATACCCAGCTGTAACAAGTAGATCCACGTATTCCTTCTCGGAAACGAAATTCCCAAATGGCGAGTTTGTGCCCCAGCACACGAGTCGGAGGAGGATCTTTTCGTACCAGGTTATACTATTAGATAGTATCATGTCAAACGCCATGAATGAGGCACCGAGGGAGTTGCATGCATAGGTCAGGAGAGGTAGACGTGAGGGGTTGAAATGATACATTGTGTCCAGGGCCAGGAGCCATGTCGATGTGTCTGCATTTTCATATTGTTTGGTTGACGTGTTTGCGAGGGCTGTTACTGATTTCTTCAACTCCCCAGTCCAAGAGCTCGGGACTGCAGCGTCTGCGCAGAAGATATCTGCCTGGGTGTTGTCCCCGCTCTCTCGCTGCATATGGTGAATGCGGCTTGAGCCGAGCGCGGCCTGCGCTGGCTCCAGCGTGATCCCGATATATGAATCTAGGCGTAGCAAAGAGGGAGATTGAACGCTGCTTTTACAATATCTAGACCGCAACCCCAACCCCGATGGTGGGATGTCCGACTGAGTAGTAGATATAGAGGCAGTGGTTGTTATCCCGGCCTTAGTCCTAGAGTTAGGATCGGAGTGGGATGTAGGAGAAAGGCCATTTAAAACCCTCGTCAGGTACAATGACTGATCACCACACCCACACCCAACATCCAGGATTCTGACGGCAGACGCGGTCTCTGTTGATAACGCAGCAGTGAGAACCTGATCTAGGAGTGCTTGACAGGCTTCTGGGAATTCATTTGTGAACTAAGCAGTGGATCAATGTGGATTTTTCAAAAATGTGATGGTCTTTATTTGAGTGGATTTACCTCCCAGTACCCCATGTTCATCCACATACTCTGTGGCGGGAGGTGGATGTTGAGGGCAGCATGGTCTAGACCATACACGTTTGCGCGTGGCTTGCGCAGGGCGCGTTTGAGAAATTGTAGCATTTCTTAATAGCCCTATTGGGGGATGGGAGTAGCCGATATTTCTTCGTTATATTCTGCAAAGCTAGGTAGGGTGTGGTGGAGCTCCCTGGGTGGATCAGAGTCGGCTATTAATGCCAACTACCATGTTGGTCTACTCCGTACGACGTAATCCGTCTACGTCGTACTTTGTACTATCTGGAGCAAGGGGATCTGGGGATTTGTTCAAATGGGTCACCTACGCGAATTTGACAGGTGTAAAACTGGGCCGAAACATATGAGTAACTCTAAAATACTTGGAACTGCATGAACAAATCATCACTCATCCACCCACCCCCCTTTGACCTGCAGATAATAAAATCTGCGGTAGCTCTAACTGCTAGAAACAAAGAAAATAACATCGCTGGAAAAAAACACTATGAACAAGAAATCAAAGATAGTGACGTGGGGCTGACAGGGAAAGGCCCAGGACAGTCACCACCTGAAGCAGCAGAGTAGAGTTGCAGGGCAACCAAATAAGACCGGGGTTTCTTTTTTTTTTTTGATAGTTTTGCCGATTTTTTCTTCGTTTAGCATTGGGGGGGAATGCTTTATACAGTAGTGCCCACACTGTGCTTCAGGTCGGAACTACTTGAGCCATCAGACTTTTGTGAGGCGAGGAACTTCTTGAACATATCCGAAATGTCTTGCTCCGATTGCTCATCGGCACCGTTCTTCTCCATAATCAAACCACGGAGCCAGTGGTTCTCCAGCTCGAGCTGAGACACGCGAGCCTCAAGGATGTCGTTCTTCTCGGTGGTCTCCTTGACAGTCTGTTCAAGGGCAGCCTCGCGCTGCTTCTTCTTCACACGGAAGCGAGCACTGGCAGCGGTGTTACGGCGGCGCTTGTCCTCCTCGGCCATCTGGCGACTAGCCGCTTCGGCGCTCTCCTGGTTTGAGTTTGCCGAGTTCTTGCGCTTAGTGCCGGTAACCGGAGTAGAGGGCGACATAGAAACAGATGGGGCCGGAGCTACCTTCGGGACGGTGTTGATTGGCGCAGGCTGAATGGGTGCCTGGTTTGCAGCCACAGGTCCACTAGGAACGGACGGAATCGAGAAGTGGGCATTGTGCATAGGCACCTGGACATTGGAGCCGGTCAGGTCCGGCTGGTAATCGGACATGCCATTGAGTCCCTCTGCTGTAAAACCATTAGCATTCAATTTCCAAACAAAATCCGCATCGAGTAGTTCGGTGTTCCGACGAGTAGTTGGGAGTCCGAGTAGAGCCGATCACGTGAAATGGCGTAATAGCGGAGAGCATTCACGCCAACGACCAAAGTCAATTTTAAGTGGAAGAAAACCCTGCTAGGGCCACGGGAAGGATGACATGCAGGGCTCAAACTTTTCGAGGTAGGAGGTCCAAGCTGTAAAAGGGCGTGGGATGATATTCAAGGTACGAAGCGCATGAAGCGCCAAAAATGCCACGAGCCAAGACATGGGCTCGTGCAACAGACATGAATGACGAATTCATAAGGCAACCAATGAAACATGTAAGATGTAGACATTGGCCCATGGGACACGATTGCGAACAAGTCCGCGGGGTGTAGTGCGATTAGGGGAAAGCCATGCAGTTCAGACTCGGGACTACCCAACGACGCGAAAGACAGGAACGAAAATTAGCCACACTTACCATTCAGGAAATCTAAGAACTTCAAATCGTCATTGTGTGTAGATTGGTCTGAGAGGGCCTCGTGCGTCTTGTCTTCTGGCGAGAATGAAGGTAAACCGAAGTCGGTGAATTTGTCGAACTCGAAGAACTCAGTATTGGTGAACAGAGCTAGATCCTCATCGTTGAAGGTAGTCTGCTGCTGTTGCTGCTGCTGAGCCTGGTCGTACGGCGAGGGAATCGCGTTCAAGTCATCGAGGTATTGCGAGAAGTTAGGCATGCGACGCCCGTTATAGTTGGCCATAGTGAAGACTTTCCCGCGTTTCCGGTATAATCAATTGAAAAGCCGGTAATCGACTCGATGCCGATGGACTTGAAAATGCGCGTTGCGCAGGCAGAGAGAGGTGACTCAGATACCGAATGCGGCTCGGTGCGGATTCTTCGCAGACGCGATGTGATATTTCGATCCGTGTGAATCGTGAAATTGGCGATGTAAGATCGAAGAGAAGGAGACAGAAGTTGGGGCCACAAGTGGGTTTTTTCTTTGAACGTTCAGTGGGGGGGAAGCCCGGGGCCGGAGGGGTGATGATTAATCCCCCCATTTTGCCTTCATTTGCCTCCCAATCCGGATATTCACTGGAGACTCTGTTTCTGGAAATAATCTCTATAATTACACAATTTCTCTTCAATATTCTGATTTACCCTTTTTTTTTTTTTTTCTAATTCCTTCCCGTGCTTTATGTAAATATGTTTACTCTGAACAGTGTATAATGTTATAGAAGTGAGTTAAAGGCCGAGCATCGGAGGCCGAGTTTAAAAATGCTCGGTTCCACTTGTGGACGTTCCTCGTCGAAGGCCAGATTCATCTAAATCTTATATATATTCTTGTACAGAGTCTACATGTTGTATATATTATTGCATACTGAGATGAACACTGAGTCAGGTATCTCTTAACTCTTTCAATTAAAGCGACAAACGCGGCTCAGAAAACATCCCCGAGATCGGTGTCTGTACTGATTGGCGAACCTTGACAAAGTCATAGCACTGACCGTTCGTGTTCGGGTGAAGTTGGTTTTTCCGAAATGACTCCGAATTATTCATCAATGTAGGTAATGCCTTATCTTACTAACTATTTCACTCTTGTAGAAATAAACCTGAAAGTCGATCTCTCTTGACTTATTAGGAATATTTACAATATGTTGTAAGCAATGGGTAACACATGAAATCATTTTCTTGTATACTTCCAAGGTTTGAGATCCATGTTGACATAGTTCCCGCGTCATGGCATTTTTCTCTCTCTTCTAGTCCAGCTTAATAGGTTCTCATTTCTCAACATCCATATACACATCTCACAAACAGTTCCGTGATCTCGATATCAATATCGGCAGTACCCGTCTTAAGAAAATTAATCTAGCGTATCTCATGCTGATCATGATAAAATACTATCTATCAATTCAATTTGTCAGTAATTATATGTTGTACAGCCCTAGAGCGTCATTCGCGTTTTTCTATATATTTCACCTAACCAATCATAACGAAGGAATAGGATAATTTATATCTTAGGAAAACGGAACAAATCACTGGGCTAAGCAACTGAAGACATACTATGTTGCTATGTAATATATAAGATAAAAATATAACCTGTGGAGTTCAATAAGTTCCAGATTGAAATGACCAGGAAATAACTTTGTCTTGTAAGTATCCGCATGCTCCGCCCATACCCCTGGCACTGTGCTCACAAACTTGGAGACTGGAACGGCCACATTTGTCGCATATCTCAGGCGCATTTCCTTCTAGCAACTGGGAAGTAGGGTGAACTGTCAGGGATGACATACGTCTGTATAGAATCCTTATATTTGCGTTTTGATAGCCTAGTCCTTGTAGTGATTGGTTTGCTTCGACGAATGTCCTTTATAAGCCATCATTATATGTAACTGAGACCTCGGTTGTCATGTTGATCTTTTCGCCCTTTGGAGAAATGGGTTCTAGGATCGCCGTTTGACTTCCCAAGTTGTCAACAGTCGTATGCCCAATGTTTGTCTGCGTTTCACCCTGGGAGTTGTCGAAGACCTTGTGGCTAGGAGGCAGACGTGGGTACGGGATCATGTTATAATTGTCCGATGCTGTGCTGGGAAATATCTTTGTCAAGAGAGGTTTGAGCGCAGGAATGGATGCAGCAGTGATGGCGAGACCATCTTCTACGGCTGCCCAGATTAATAAGGGAGCAAGTTCCCCTATGTGAAGAGAAGAGATCAGTTTGTGACACAACACCCAAAAGATTAAACAATTAGTGGCATACATGTGAAGTCTGCTTTGGCTGAGAGAGCCACGAGATGGATGGTCTTGACTATGGATGCTGCACCTGCGCTGTAGAGAGACAATCCAGTCAGTACGTGGGATCGACGGGTAAAAGTCTGCAAGGGTTCCTAGGAACTTACAAGATCCCAAGACTCATTGCAACAGCCACACCAAACTTTTCCTTCTTCCTCATTTGCAAATTCCAGACAATCGTCCACGGCAGCAGTGCTAAGACAAAGTCTTGGGCTCCCGAATAGGCTGTATGAGAGAATTGGCGCATAAGTCATTGGATAGCACAACCAAAGAAGACTTCTGCAAGGAGACTTACCACCAACAAAAAGAGAGAAATTGGTAAAGACATGCGACGGCCAACACTCTGATGGAATCATCGGATTCCACAAATGCCGGGGATCTTTGCATTGCAGAAAGACAAAAAGCGCAGCCAAGATGTTGATAATGTTCATTGTAACTATCACGAACCATAGCACAATAACCATCCATCTCTGGACCACAATTCGAAGCAAGGTGATGGCAAAGGACGTCTTGCCAAGGGTGCATGCCATGATTGCCAGACTTTCGCCAATATTACACAAGAGCGCAACATGAATGAGGTTATCGGGGGTTTTCTGGACGATTTCGAGATGTTCTCCTAAGCCCAGAGTAGCGGCGACATGACAGACAGCAGCGTATGCGACCAGGCAACACTATCAAAGGAACAATGTCAGCGAGTTCATCCCAGTCAATTAGACACGAAAAGAGCGGAGTTCCCTTACAACTGCCGCGATTGCAATACCGTCATCCCAGCCAGAAACTCTTCGCATATATAACCGTACATACAAGCGCATCAAAACGAATACTAATGGAATCATCGACATCGTCCACATCACACCCTGTACCGCACGAGCCTGGCTCCCCGGAAGAGATGCACCTCCACTAGACGACATCTTGAGTGTTTTGTCGACACCCAGACTCACAATACGGGGTATACCCGTAAGGTTAAAGACTCAACGCCCTAGCCATGGGCACGCCACAAGTGATTACAAGCGCATAGGACACCGGGGGAGATAAGTATTGTTAAGAGGGCATCATATTCCGGTACTCGATTAAGAATAAAAATATTATGGCAGGGTTTAGTTTGGAGAAATTCAATAATTATGTATCCTAGTAAGTGGATATCGTATTCAGGTCGATCTTTAAAAGATCCAATCGGTTTAAGGACTTCCTTGAACAAGTTTTAGCCTCCTGCATGAACTCACGTAATAATTTCTGGTAGGCCGAAAAAAGGACATTTTCCTAAATGGCTAGTTAGATGCGTTGTCTCAAAACCCCATATATGTGAAGGGCTAGGGCTGTTAAAGCCGTGGTTATTACCGAATCAGGAAATTGGCTTGATCAGAGACCTGGAGAGCCAAGCCGTCAACTACTCCACATTCCGCCTACCCCCGAACGCCACTTGGATAGTTTCAACATCGGGAATTGGGAATTCCGCACGTACACTAGGTATTTGCGCCGTTCACACTTTGTTTCTCCGTAATGGTTCCCCGCTCTCACTGAAAATTGAACTTCATCAACCCCTTTATCTTATGCATATGGTAAGCGGGGAACCTGGACTTGTCAACTGTTTTACACGTCTTACGAGCTCCTAGCAGTGTGCATTGCAGGTGCTGCACGTACCTTCGGCAGAATCCACACTTAATGTTGGAAATTATCCCTTTTCCTTCCAGCCTGTGGGCCCAGGCTCTGGTCACTCTGGGTCTGCTTGTTGTGACAAAGCTGGTTTCAGATGTATTCTTTTCGCACTTGAGAACTATCCCTGGCCCGACATTGGCCAAGATCACTGATTTTTGGCGTGCATTCCACGCATATGGTGGACGTATTGATCTCAAGAATCTCCAATTACACCGGAAGTATGGTGCAGCGGTACAAGTCGGGCCCAATTGCGTGAGCATATCAGACCCAAATCTAATTCGGACAATTTACTCTACACGCAATCCATGGAAAAAGGTGGGATACATCGGCTAGTTAATACCGTCCTTTGAGAATAGGCGCTGATCTGTCCTAATCCTGTAAAGAGTGATATGTACCGCCCCAATGATGTACTGCTTGAAGGTCATCGAATGTCGAATCTCTTCAATACCCAGGATGAGGATTGGCACAACCAGAACATCCGACCTATTCGTGGCCTTTGGACAATGACTAAGGTTCTAGAATACGAGCCCTTAATCGATAAAACATTAAACAAGTTTATGGACAAGCTAGCGCTGAGATTCGTCGATGGTGATAGCGCAGGAAAGATTTGTCTAGCAGATGAATGGATTGGTTTCTGTAAGCACCCCCTGGGACCCTGTGTGGATTGGAGCTAACAACTTATGTAGTCGCATGGGATGTTACCGCCAACTACAGCTTTGGTCGGCACTATGGATTCATTGACCAGGAGAAAGATGTCGACAATTTGATCACAGACTCCACGGCTGGCTTGAGATACTTCGCACCGGTAAGTATCCGCATATCTACGATTCAGTGCGAACAAGGAGAGTGACTGACATGCGCACTAGGTATCTCAAATTCCATGGATTGACAACCTCCTGGACAAAAATCCGATTAAGCGCATTGGGCCCAAGCCCACCTTGACAGGTGTCCTGTATGCCTTCAAGGTCGTCGCCGAGTATCAGGCCCAGCTTGCTGAGAAGAAAATATCTCCAGGTACGGTCGACCACACACTCGACAGATACGTGCAGTTAAAAGAAACATACCCCGACATGGTCGACGACAACCAGATAGTCAACTGGCTAATGCTGAGCATTCTTGCTGGAGGAGACACGAGTTCCGCCACTATGCGTGCCACCGTTTACTACCTCGCCAAGACACCTGCTGCAATGGCCAAGCTTGCCGCCGAACTTAAAGACGCCGGCATCTCGGCCCCCGCTGCCTGGAAGGAGATCCGCGAATTGGCATACCTGGATGCTGTCATTCGTGAAGCTCTGCGCGTCAACCCTGGTATTGCCATGATTTTTGAGCGCGTCGTTCCAGAGGGTGGTTTCACGCTTCCCGATGGTCGATATCTCCCTGCAGGCACAAAGGCCGGGATCAACCCTTTTGTCACAAACCGTGATTTTGGGGTGTTCGGGAATGATGCTGATGACTTCAACCCAGACCGCTGGCTGCAAGGCAAGGATGAAAGCCCGGAGAACTTTGAGGTTCGTCTGCGTCGGATGAAGGATACTGTCGACTTATCTTTCGGTGGCGGAGGCCGGGTTTGCATGGGCCGGTATCTCGCTATGTTAGAGATCAAAAAGCTGATCGCGACGTTGTACAGCTCGTTCAATGTAAGTGGTTTATGGGGGTTTCTCGGATTCTAGCTTCTTGGTGCTAACTCGCAATGTAGATTCAGCTGGTTGACCCCAAACATGAATGGAATTACCAAACTTCTTGGTTCGTGTATCAGTACGATATGCCCATGATCATTCGGCGCCGATGAAATGGTGCCCTTGGGCTATTGGCCTTGACAGCGAGGGGTGAGTGGGTATCGACAAATATGATGATGGCATGCACATGTAAAAAGAACTCGCAGGGAGTGGAATATAGGAAAGGTCTAATGAACACGCGAAAGATCTGAACTTGCATGAAATATGGATTGAGTAGAAACGAATTGTCCATACCGCATAGGGTATCAAAGTCCCAGCCTAGAAAACGCCGCCAACCCATTAAGAATATCCAGGTCCTTGGAAGGTTTCCATGCATCAAGTCATTATGTAGTAAAGGATCGCTAGTACTTCGCTCAAACTTCCAAACTGTCCATGCGTAACTTCATTCAAGCATACCCTACCGTTCGAACGTGACGTTGAGCGGGTACGTGCGATGTGGAATCATGTCTTGAGCGGCTCAACGGGAAGCCCATTTTCATCCTTAAGTGCCACTTCATCCTCGTTTTTCTCAGTTGGCTTTCCATCATCGCCTTCCTCGCCAGTAATTTCTCCCCAGCCAGAACTTCTTCGACTCATGCGACCAGCCATGGCCAATGGGCTGCTAATACCCCCGGCGATACTGGCAGCAGTACTGTCATTTCGAGTGTGCGATTGCACACCGCTGCGAATACTGGCCGTATCACCGCTGACAGTTTGTTTTGTGGTGTACAAACCGCCCCGCTCCGCTGTGGTGCTGGCTAGTGGAATTGCCCCGGAGGCCGAGTAGACACTAATGCGTTCAGCACTAGCAAGGCCAACAATACTTGGCCGACTCAGCACCCCCGACGCATTAAACACCGAATTATTGGATGCTTCAGTCGTATGTCCACTCAGAACGCTCAGCGGCAGGCTCTCCCGACTGCCGCCAAAAACAGAAGACGGAGCCAATCCGCGTACAGACGCATTGGTATCCAGAGAGTTACGACGGCGGCGCTTAGATGAGCTAGCCAAAGTAAGAAGAGAGGCATTATCGGTCAAGGCATTGTTTGCAGTTGCGGCGCTGTACGTCATAGCATGGTTTTGGGGTACCAGGTGCGGGGGTACTGCGGTAGCGGGCGAGGTTGAAGGGAATTGGTGGGAAAATTGAATCTGCTGGTTCGAAGAGCTTTGTGTTGAACTGCCATGATGGTGTCCATTGTGGCTGTTTTGTGCATTGTAAAGTTGGGTTGAGGGTGCCGCCGAGTGCACAGTGGTTAGGGTAGTGGTCATCGACCGGATTGAAGGTGCAGGTGATGAGAAGGTGCTACCCTCACCTCCCCCATGGGTACTAAATCCTTCAGTTCCAGTTGTCAATGTCCCTGCCTTTGAATAAGCTGCTTCGGAGAAGGCCGCATCGCCGTTGGTTGAAATGGTTGGCGCAGCGGATTTTGCGCTTGTCAGGGGAGCCGGGTTCTCATATCCTGAGCACAAAGATGGGTCACTCCTAGAGCGACATTCCACGCCATAATGATCACCTGTGTATGAATCGGTCGGTGTCTGTGTCCCTGTGTCACGGTTGATGGTTCCAGAGAGCGGGTATGGGTTGTTTCCTTGATCGCTCTTCTTGCCCTTATTGGCCGGAGAGCGCTTGTTGGACCATCGATTTGTTGTAGAGTCAGAGGAACCCTTAAGGTTCGCCAGGCGTTTCACCCAACTTGAGAATGGACGGCGACGCGCATTCCGGTCTGTTTTGAATGAATCCCTTAGCAATGGTTGGTGGTGAACAGGCACAATTTATACTTACCAAGCACCCTTGCTGGACCATCAGCAGTAGCCATTCTAGCTTGAAGAGGCAGCCTAGTCACTCCCAACTTTGGCTTGTGAAAGGTCAAAGATAGGCAAGGGAGCAGAGCCCTAGGGAATGACCCGCGCCGAGGCAGATGGGGAAGGCGGGGAGACTGTTTATCCGTGCACGTCATGTGCCTGCCTTGTCTGCCTTGCCTCTTGACTTCTTGATGTTTCAACATTCTGGACAGGTTATTCTTTTGTGAATTATTGGCTGATACCTATTGGATTGGATCTATCTGCGACAAGGTCAGATGATCATGATTGAAAGACGTATTCATAGTTGTGTTTCCAAAATCATTTTTGGAGTCTTTCTTCACGGCATCTAGTGGCGCAATGTCCTGGTGAATGCAAACAACAAACTGCATCAATGCCTTTTTCTCAGTCAATAATACGAGAGCTACCTTCTGACGTGATTGCAAAGATCAAATCGTCTACATCCATTGTGCATCTAACTAGTGTCATTTTGGAGCTAGTCAAGAATTCTTTGGATGCCAATGCACAATCAGTCTTCGTCACTGTCGATTTCAAACGAGGTGGCTGTATAGTTGAAGATGATGGCGATGGAATCCCTCCGGTCGAGTTCGAAATTACAGGAGGGCTGGGCAAGCCTCACCGCATGTCTCCCAACCTTGAGGTTTTAATGTATGTTAGCTGACATATGCAATAGATACTTCCAAATCCAAACTGAGTGGCTTGTACGGCCATCGGGGCTTGTTCTTAGCTTCTTTGGCCTCGCTGTCTCTACTCACTGTGACTTCTCGTCACATTCTTCATGGATGCACAAACTCGCTAATTCTTCATCATTCGACGCCTGTGGCTCGGTTAATCCCTGCGCCTCCACATCAGGTGCTTCGCTCTGCTAATCATGGCACGTCTGTGACCGTCAATGACCTTTTTGGAAACATGCCAGTTCGGGTCAAGAGCCGAGCCCTCAGCCTTCAGCGCCCGGACGAGCTAGAACGAGAGTGGGACCATCTAAGGATTTCCTTAGTGTCTCTGCTTTTGGCCAATCCTCGATTCTCTAAACTTGTCCTTGTCGATGTAGAAAGAAATAAACGGATGTCCGTTCGTCTTGCAACTACCTCCGGGCCCGAAGCACGCACCTCTTACGGCCAGATGGAGTTTGACCTCAAAAACATCCGGTTAATTCTCGCGCAATCTGGGCTGGTTGCACCACAAAACTTGGATGGCTGGCATGAAATTTCAGCGTCAGTTTCTGAATTCATAGTTCGGGGGGCAATATCTCTCCAACCTAGTCCAACTCGAAAGTGTCAGTTCATCTCTTTGGGGAAAGAACCCGTTCTGTCGCGCCATACCTCGAACGTTCTTTATAACGAAGTCAACCGGCTATTTGCTGCGTCTGATTTCAGTAATGTTGCAGTCATGTCTGACCGAAGTTCTGTTCCACATTCTGCATCTTCGACAAACCAGCTTGATGCCCCAAGTAACGCAAGCACTCGAAGCTGGGCAAATACCATCAATAAGTGGCCAATGTTTTACATCCGAATTGACACAAAGACTGCCATACAGCTGGACGATGATGGATCTGAGCATCTTCCAGAATCCGCCAAATCGGTCCAGCGCATCGTTGATGTGCTTGGAGCCATGGTCCATGAATTTTTGAAGCAACACGATCTCCGCCCTCGTAGCGGCAAACAGCAGACCATGCCACCAGGCCAAATCCAGGGTATTCGTTCCAAAGTCTCCCGAGCAGCTGGTAGTTCTGGTGGCCCCCTACAGCAAGGTCGGTCGCTTTTGAGCGCCGAAGAGGCATTTAGCAGTCGTGTGAAAATCCCCTCATTCTCAAGAGCCCAGTCTCTGAACTCTGGTCAAAGCTTCGCCAATTGGTCTAGAGTAAAAAGAGCTAAGGATCTCAAAGGACATTCTCCGACCCATCGAACGCCTCAGCGTTCACATGCGGCGCCTGACGTAACACAGGGAAACAGTTCCTTTGTTCTTGCTAAACATAGGCGAAACCGTCGAAATTATGACGAGGAGTGCACAATTTATCCAAGACCCGTGAATAAAATGATTTCTAGCAAGGGTAGGGACAAAGCAGAGGATTTCCCCAGCGACTCGATATCTGACAAGATGATCACCTGGGTCGATCCCCATACCAAATTGGCCTATATTATTAATCCTCGAACGGGTCAAACGATGAACTCTCGGAAGTCATCAGCTACCCAGCGTACTCCTGCCAATGGTGTCGATACCCCGTCTAAGCATCCAGTGCAAACCTTTTGGATAGAAAACCTGTTGGGTGAATGGGACAATCCTTCCTTCAGCCGGACAGAAATGCCGATACCGAACCTAGACGCAGGGACCGCCGGTCAGCAGGGTACAATTACTTCTTCGCACGACTGCTTCAAGGGCATCGGGTCTCTTGATACCGCGCAGGTTGCCAAGTATCGAGGAAAACTTCAACGCCGTGCGCTCGAGGGTGCCGAGGTGATAGCCCAGGTGGACAAAAAGTTCATCTTGGCCAAGTTCCATACCACTCCCGTCAATCTCGGTTGGGAAGGTCAATCCGATGATATTCTTCTCTTAATCGATCAACACGCGGCTGATGAGCGATGTCGGATTGAACTCTTGTTTAAGGAGATGTTCCTTTCTCCCGACCTAGGTGAGAATTTAGAGTCGGGGAGTCGAGTGCACACTGTGCAAGTTGCTCCTTTAGCGTTTGAAGTCTCACTGACAGAGGGTGATCTCTTCCAAAAATGTATGGCTCTCTTCTCGGGCTGGGGTATTGAGTATACGACACGTGCCTCGACCAACTCTACTGTCTTGATCACCGTGCATACTCTTCCTGTTCTAATAGCCGAACGCTGTCGGCTCGAGCCTCGTGTATTGATTGATTTGATGAGACGTGAGACCTGGTCAAGTGAGGAAGATGGCAGGAAGCTGTTCCAGTCGAAGAAAGCATTTAAAGCCGAAGATATTGACCATGATCGCGGACTATCAGCCATGGACGATGTGGTACACAAAGGAACCTCAATATCATCTGTCTCACGTTCATGGATTCAGCAGATGAATGGATGCCCCCAGGGCATCGTGGACCTTCTTAACTCCCGCGCTTGTCGCACTGCTATCATGTTCAATGACCCATTGAACCTTGAAGAGTGTCAGGCCTTGGTCTCTAGGCTAGCCCATTGTGCCTTCCCGTTTCAATGCGCCCACGGCCGCCCTTCGATGGTCCCTATACTTGATTTACGAACCCTCTCTGGCATTGCCGTTTCATTGCCGCTAGACTTGGATGCTAGAGAAGTTTATGATAACGGCATGAGTTTGGATTTCGTAGAGGCGTTTAGAACCCGTTATGTAATATAGTTGGAATATGGGGTTGTCTTATAGGCAGTTTGGGATATATTAAATGTAAAGGTGTTGACACTGGGAATGTGTACATTACTTACATCAGTCCATCTTTGGCAGTCAATGAATTATCGACCTTTGGGATTTGGCAAACTGCAGGCACACAAAGCACATACTGACTTTTTTTCTTCTTCTTCGTTTGCTCCTGGTCAACATTACAATATTGGTCCAAAGCTTTTGAATCAACTGAAACCCTGTCTACTTTGACCTCTTAAGATGCTGAAGCTAACAGAATGTTTCACTTTTATGATACCTCACATTTCCCATTCTCAAATTGGCACAGAATACGCCTTTGATTGTGAATATTCAGACGACTTTTCCGTTTAGGTCAAACCTAGATGTGACCTGGCATTTAGCAAGGCACAGCTGGACACTCTGCATCTTAGTACGGAGTACTCCGTACTCTGTACTCGTAAGCCTGCTTTCATCTTCTTGCATGAATAAACAAGATAGATCGTGCAGGGTATATATTTCAATTTATCCTAGGCAGTCGCATTACTCAAACAACTCAATGTAATGGTAGCGGTCTGTCGGCTGAAATGCACAAGTTTGAGGGGCTTTTCTTTCCAAAATTGAGGTCCTTTGGGCATATCCCTTGCATGGATTTGGATACAGGAAATCCTCCGTAGATATGGAGAGGTTCATGCAAGGATTGGCCACTAATAAAAATATGAAGTACCTAAAAATGACACTATAACAGGTTTACTTCCCACGAATAGCAATATCTATGTAAGTTATGAACAATACAAAAACATAAAAGCCACACATCTTTCGAACTTCGGACTTTCATTTATTTAAGTAGATAAGTTGTCACTCTTAGCGTACTTAGTCCAGTAATTTGATTCTCTTTACGGAGTTCAATGTTCTTTGCTGACCTTACGCATTTCGACGGGTCACCGTGAGACCTATGAGCAGAATTCAAAGGCTTTTCTTACAGTAATACACCCTGCATTGAGGATTTCTATCTGTGACACGTACGTAGCATACAAAGTAAGAAAACGTGGCCAACCCTCATCTACAATAATATCAGTAATACTTCTGCTTGTTACTAGTAGGCAATCCTATTTAACCCAGGAACCTAGCAACCTAGCAATCTACTACCTTGCCGAGCTATAGATAAGAGTTCACTAATATGTATGAATAGGAGAAACTGGAGAGTTGATATTAATTCAATCGTACTGGAAACTGCTTAGGACTAACTGTTCTTATACTATACTCAATCTTCAAATGAAACAGCCTGCGATGTGAAGCCCCACTGCGCAGGGCTTCGGTTTAGATGATCAGAGTGACAGGGGTATTACAATACTACTGCGAAGGCTATTGGCACTAGTACTGTGTGTATTCAAACTGAACTCTGAGCCTCTCTATTGCTCCGAGTTCCAGTATTATAGTAGTGCGCGGTGCGGACTTAGCGAAGTCACATGATCCATTCCGAGTCCTCGAATCCTCGAGTCTCTCATAGGTCCACTGCGACCCTCACTCAGGAGTGGGTCGTGACATGCGACCAAGGTAGTTCTACAGCCATCAGTACTCAGGCAGAAACAGAGTCTAGAGGAAGGTATCAGGGTTTCTCAATTCGGATAGCTCATCCCTATCTCACTCAAGGTCAAAGATCTATAGTATGCGGATCTGAGAAGCAGTAAACGAGTCCAATTCAGCACTGGCATTGGCCAAGCAAAGGAGTCTGGCCAGAAGAAAGTTGACGTGATACGAGGCAAAACAAGGTCACAGTTACGATTTGTTGATAAAGAAACAGTTGAAATTAAAGCGTATTTTGCATTCCAGGCAGCTTTTGAGTGTCCCTATACAGAAGCCGTGAGACAAAAGTATTGCCAAGAGGATATCCGATGTAGGAAACGCTCAGTTGACAGATAAAAATGCTTTCCTAGTCCACCTGTCCCCTTTCTCCGTTCCCAACCATAACAAGAACAGAATAGACAAGGAATAAATTAAACAAATCACATAAAACAAGGCCCTTGGTAAACTCCATTTGGGTAGTCCCGGGTCCCGTTCCATAGCCGCTTTTCAAATGCCACTTTTCTCGCAAGAGAAATCGCAAAAACAAACAAACAAACCAAAAAAAAATACAAGTACCGCCCAAGAATAAAAAGAAGTAAATAGTAAGACAAGAATGATAGGATATTCACAGATCGCAAGAAAATGATCAAGGATGTTGATTAGAACACCAGTAATTCGGAAATGAGAAGAGGTCATCAGTCATTAGGTTGTGATAGACGGGTGATGGTGTGGGTGAATGTAAGTCGTTTATCCATGTGTCGTGACGGGCTTCACCTTGGACTGGTTGGTCCATGAGAGGAAGTCGAACTTGTCCTTGGCATTGTCGAGCATGGAAGGATTGGTTTCGGGCTGGGATTGAAGAGTGGTAGCACTGCGAGAGGTTTCTCTGGGCTCAAGGACCAGAGAGCGGCGGTAGAAGGTTTGTGCGGTCGTTTCGCCATTTGAACGCACGCGCACGAGCTCATTCTGCATCCAGGCCTGTAGCTCCGGGACTTCGGTCAGACGGTAGGGGATCTGGAACCGTTGGAGTTCACTGATGATGCGAGCTGTCTTCATATGCTTATCGAAATTGATGACGGCCATTTCACTGTCATCGGTGGAGAGAGTACGGAGAGATTGGTTGCCGTGATCGACAAATGTGAGGTCCGTCAGGTAGGTACCGACAAATGGGAGACAAGGAGGCACATGGTTCTGAAGGCGCTGACGGAGAACTGCATAGTTACGAGACACATCGACGATGCTGCGGAGCTGCTCGAGGGCAGTCTTGGTCTTCTGCGATACAATGTCCCAAGTCTTTTTTAGTCGAGAGATCATCGATAAGTTCAATGAGCAGATGATGGCCATAAGCGAATCGTAGTTGTTCAACTCGAGACATTTGTTTGCAATCTTGACCCAGTGCTTGATGGTGGCGGCACGCTTTTTGGGCTCCTCGAGGTACAGAATCGAATCCGCAACGAGATGGGCGAGATCAGTCGACAGAGTTGACATGGCACGGACATTTACAGCCAACGAGCCAGACTTTCTAGTCCATTCCGTGTCCAAGAGCTCCTCGGGGAGGATCGAGCAGAAAATGCGCGACTCCTTGATGGTGAGCTGACGGGCGAGCTCAAGTGGGTCAAAATCAAGGATGGTTATGGAGGCTTCGCCATTCTTCCATTGTTTGAGCAAGTTGTGCTCTTTTTTCCCAAGGATGGGAGGAGGTAAGGGGGTATCAGGGTGAATGTATTGAGCAATGGAGGTGTTAGTCTTGCCCATGGAAGAAACTAAGCGAGGCACAAGAGGGCCACCAACTGCCGACACCTTGCTGGCCAAATCAAGCAACCGCTTGCCAGCAGTGGGGAGATCGACCACGAGTCGCGTGTTTGCGAAGTTGACGATGAAATCAAGAGCTGTGTTGTCACGATCGTGGCGCCAGTGGGACTCGAGCCAGCCTTTGAAAATGTTGTACACACGGAGACGGACTGGTCCAGAAGCGTGGGGTGTGTCACCAATGTACTCAAAGCGTTCGGCGAGAGCCCCGGCAAACTCAAGAGGGGTCGCAAAGAGACGGAAGGTGAGATAAAAGGTTGAGACGAACATCGCGTCAGGGGTGGATTGATGAGCAGTCAGCTTCTCAATAAGAGCACGGAGACTACCGCCCATCACCGAACCTTCCTTGTAAATAAGTTCATGCGCAAAAGTCTTTTCAAGTATGTTGGCCTCTGTCTCCTCGTTCTCCTCTGCGAGGGTGGAGTAGCTTAAACTTTCCTTCAGCGAGTGAACTGTGAAGCTACCCTGGAAGCTACCCCCAATATCAGGTGAGGTAGCCCGAGTTGAGGTTTGCGAAAGACCACTCATCTCAGAGTCACGTGCGTAGCTGTTATATGTGAAGCTGCTACCGTTGCTTGTGACTCCACGGCCAAATGATTCGCTCACATCAGACTTGGGATGACTTTCACGGTAGCTGCTGTTGACAGACTCGAAAGAAGAGTTGTTCTCCATGTGGGTGGGGAGGATGGCAGAACTGTGTAGAGAGGAAAGGGCGGTAATATTGGCGGGGGAATTTGTGATATGAGACTGGAAGGATGAAGGTGTTGTAGCGTCGGTAAGGGCAGGTGTGGGAGGAGAGTATGTGGTACTAGGAATTTGAAGAGGAGGTGGGGGAAGGCGAAGTGACAGTTCCTGGCGTTCTTGTTCTACGGGAGTCTCAGGCTGTTCTTGTGGGGAGTCAATGCCTGACAAGTCCTGTCCCCTCTCTTCATAATGTTCAGGGTCAAGCTCCAGATCACCAATTTGCTCAAGCACTAGGCGAGCCTTCGCCAAACAGTTTCCAGCTGCTCGTACGCAGTCAGTCGCAGCATCCACAAGACGTTTCCCTTCGTCTGGCATAAACACAAGATCATCGTCTGGTAGTTGTGCGGGGCGGAACACGTCGCGCGCAGCATGAACAAGCTCAGATAGCTTCTCACACATAGTCTCTCGTGCCTGTTCGAGAAACACGCTGCGGTGTGTGTCATGCTCGCACACTACCTCGACGACATTTAACAGTTGTCTGCACGACTGGACGGCCTGCTGGGTGGTAACAACCAGCTCCGTCGAGGAGCGAGACTGCATGTGAAGCCCGATAAATGACCCAAGCACACCGAGGAACGCATCATATGTCGTTCCAAGGCGTTCGGATGCCAGATTCTGGGCCCCAAGGGTCGTAGAAGGACCAGAGACTGACATGCGATGCGACACAGAAACCCGTTTCGTGGCGACGGATGCGGGTCTGTGATCAACTATCTCCGTGCGCATCGATGACCGACTCATATCCATACGGCTATGGCTCATCTGCCGTGACTCCAGTCGTGATTCCAGCATTCGTGACTCAGATCGATCAGGCACATCATTATCGCCCAGGCTGAAACTCTCGGAGGCGGGAGTCAATGGCATGTTGTACTGGGATAGGCTCTCGCCGGGCCCATCCAACTCGGCGATTGTTCTGCTCAGGCCTACCTCCTCATTCCACACGTCGAGGAATCGAACTCCTCTGGTAACAATTTTGAAAGCCTTGAGCAGCATCTCATCCAAAATAGTTTCAACCTCATCTTCCGACGGGACCCCGTTGGCAACTTCCTGGAACTTCTTCGCGGTTTTCACCAGTGAAGAAAGGTCAGATAGTAAAGCCTTCCGAATTCTGCGTAGCCCATCGAACCTCCTTATCAGGGGGGATTCTCGAGTAAGACATTCTGATTTTTCCTGTGGAATCATAAGCCCTGTGGTTTTTCTTGTTTAGTTCTGGTTGGTACTTACCAGTAGAAACCTCACGCCAGCGATAGGGCCTCTCATCAAGTCTTGGTTTCCAAAATCCTTTAGTGATGACCCGCATCCTCCCCGAATGATATCCCAGAAATCAGTCAAGGCCTTCAACAAAGGACGCATAGGCAATTGGTCGTATGCTTCACAGTAATTGGTGGGCAACCAGCCTCGATTCCCAGAATCTAATAGTGTACCATCGGCCCAGCCATTGGTATGAACGGAGTGTACCAAAATGATGTCTCCCTGGTCCAGAGGGAGTGTGACGGTCGATGGAGAGACATTGCCGGCCGGGTGAAAAGGATAGAAGGCGCGCAGGTAGTTGTGAAAGACAGGCCTTGGGGCCTCGAATTGATCCATGTTTGTGTGGGCGTCTTGTGGTGTTAACGGAGGAGTCATCTCTGAGCCCCAGGCAGAATAAATTCGACTCTGTATAGATGTACGGTCGTTTGATAAATTCGAATTGGATTTCGAGATCTTTAGCGGGGGGATGTGTGGCTTCATTGGTTCCATCTCTTGTTGGTTCCTTTGACTAAATTCTTCTCCAAGCCTCTGAGGTCACTGACCGAAGGCGTTTATTCGATAGGTGCAATGGACATGGCTCAGTAAATCCAAAAAAGACAAGTATCGAAGGCTAGTGGCGTTGGATAGTCAAGGAGGGGAGGAATTGGATCGCCAGAGGCTGGGGTCCTATACAATCCAGGTCAATTGGCGTTCAAGGATAGTATAGAGTATAGGGATTGAATGTTTGGAATGCGCCCAAGGAGGTCGAGGGCTTGGGAATGCCAGAAGGGGATTTAGGAGCTTCAAAGACATACACCCAGAAAAACAATATTAACAAGTAATCAAAGACTATACACAGATCCAAACAGACTTCCTTTCAAGGAGTCCGGAACATTCAAGGTCCCGGGATGACGAGTTCAAATCCCAATATCAAGGGATGGTAAATAATGCAATGCCTATGAAGGGGAGAAGAGTCGCAGCAAGGACTTGAACCAATGCCGAATAAGGTAACGCAAGGGCGGAAGGGATATAAAGGGAAAGAATGCTAAGTATAGGTAATTGCCACCGGCAGCAATACAACTCAAGGTACGGAGTAGAAAGTAGAAAGTGAAGCTTTGGTATCAGGGGAGAAAGTAAAGGGAAATAAGTGGAATAATAGCTCTCCTTCGAGTCTTTGAATCTTCTGGGACTCGATCGATCCAGTAATGGGTCTGTATGGATATGTAATGTATTCTGTTAGAATGTGACGGGTACCATACCGGATGTATTTTAAAAATTCTATATTCTTTAATTTTTGGGATTTTCCATTTGGGATTTTTTTGGGTTTTTTTCACTTTTCCTTTTTTTTTTTCATTTCGGAATCTACATATGTATGTTGTATGTTGTATACTATGTACATTCAAACTTCCAAATTTATATGTACTATGAATAGTTCTCTTTCTATCCTTCTCAACTCAAAAAGAAATAGAAAGTACACAAATTGTAAATAGGAAAGTGAAAAAAAACCCCTTCGAGAATTTGGCCTGTCTATTATGTACGCATGAGTACCTTCTAAGTACTAAGTACGAAAGTACCCGCTATACTAACAAATAGGCTAAAAGGTACATATCTCACAAGTACCAACTCTCCTTCGTCTCCGACCGCAATAGATTCTTTTGATTTGTTTAGAATTGAAAACTCCTATTGTCTAAGACCAATCATATTGCCACAATCCGATAAATCCTGTGGAGTTAAAATCAGGCCATGTCTTAATGCATTGACCGTGTGTGCTCTAGCCTGCAGGGAGACTCGATCAATCATTAAAAGAGGGAACTTTTGTTCTCCTGTCAATATCTTTCCGGGATAGGATCGACAGCGCAGGCGACCGGCCCCCAAAGTGACAGCCGCCAAAAGTCTTTTTTTTTTTTTTTCTTCCTTTCAGTGGCCGTTATGGTTTATCATTTTTTAATGGAAAATAGGTACTTCGTAGTCCGTACTCCGGATACTCATCGGTAATCCGCACACATAAAAAAAATCTCCAATCTCCAATCCCCCTACCCCGGTCTCCATTGAAATCCAGACGGAGTACCCAGTTTCCCCTGTTTCTTTTTCCCGCGTGGGGCGATAATCACAGATTCGCAAAGTTCCACAGCTGAAATAAACAGCTATCTACAGAGGCATACCTAGATCCCAAGATATGTGAAGCAGGGATCATGACGCAGACCCGTGTCTAAGACCTAAAATAATAATAGATGCGAGGGGAATGCCTTACCGTATGAAAAAATTTAACCGTACTTTTGTTGACAGTATCCTTAAAGCTTCGGAATATTTTCTATTTAACAATTTTCAAGGCAAACATATGAAAGTCACATTGATAAGCTGATTCATAGTCTAGGCTTAGAGTAATTAGAGACAGTATCGAACTTGTAATACAGATCACAACTTCTCATCACTCGCACGTCCTCCCGCAGCTCGACCAACAGTTTCGCAGAGCTGCGTGAAGTTGGTGATTCTGCAGTTTCCAGTCGACATTGAAATGTGTAAAAACGCATATTTATTTCACCTTAGCATGCATTGGTTGGCCGTCACATGTTCTTGAGTCTTTGCCTCCTTAAAGGGAAATATAAAACTGCTAGTCCCTGACCTTGGGATAACTAATATGTGACTAATGGTAGGTCAGCCTGGGAACTGTCTAAAGTGAGCCAACAGCTCCAAAAAAAAAATAACAACCAAAAAAAAAACTCCGAACGCCTCTCCTGTGTGGGGTCCAATGGCTGTCATATTAATGCAAGCCCCCTCGATATCATCACATTATGGCCAAAATACGATCTGCGGTCTATGCCTTCAAGGGGTGGAATCTCCGTGCCGGAGTCACGTTCCAAGCTTAGTCTCTGAGATCTGCTTTTTACGCTCGCGTATACGGAGTAGAGATCGCGTAGAGTCGATCTTGAGACTAAAATTTACAGTCTGTTTGGTTATGGTTATGTTTCAAAGTTGTCTCCCTTACTCTCTATAGATACAACACCAAAGCCAATCGCACAATGCATATGATTACAATTTACATATATGTACAATCAAAGGGCCAGCCCGTGCGGTCTCTGACTGTTTGCTTGTCTCATATTGATATTACCTACAGACATAAATCAAACTACCCCTAAATATGTATGTAGTCCATTAACTTAAGCTGCTGGCTCACTATTCGCTTGGCTTTTCATATCTTCGTCAGCAAGCTGCATAGCACACAAGGATATCACGTTCTGACAGACTCGTGCCCAAGCAGTGGGGCATGCACGGTCATTCTCCCAAAGAAATTTGCACAAGTATAGCCATTGTGCTGCAGGACCCGTCTGGTTGACAAGAGATCGTCGAAGTGAGGTGTCGTCACATTTACTTTAATCTATTGAATATGGTCGCCGAGGTTGAGAAGCCCGATGCACATCTAGGCACCCGTTTTAGGTAGGAGCTGTGCTATCTCGAGGCTTAGGGTCTGGATCAGCAATGGTCTCTATGATAGACACATGTATGTCTCTGCGTGTGGTATCTTTGTTGTAGGATTATCCCTCGGGTGATATTTCCACTTAAGGATGTTTCTTCGTGTGCGACATGATCTACTCCGTAATCTCCTCGTACAGGAGACCAACGGCTTATTCGTGAGGTAGGATGAGCAATACACTAATCCTTGGATCACTTATGTTGTACTCCGTACTATATCTTAGTTATCCTCGTGGGGGCAATTGCCGACGCAAGACAGGAGAAGAGTGCGAGAGATCTGAGTCGATGTCTTGGAAGATCAATGCTGGTATCCGTGAGTTAGTGGAACCTGCCATTAATAACGAGATCTATACCCCGGTATAACCCGGCAGTCAAAATAATAGGCTAGGAGCTATACCTGTCTGTCATATAGAAAGAACCTCTGTTGGATGTAAGTGGCGTCGAGAGGCTTACTTGCTGGGTCTCTCCTATCTCATGGATATATATTTATAGGCACATAGTAATTGCTGCATAGAAAATCTCATATACATCCACAACCTAGACGACGCTGAGTATGATATCATATTGTTGGGCAATATCAACGACATATACGGAGTACCCACGCAGTATATTGCGATTTCTGGGGTAAGAGCAAATATAGCTAGCACATGATTCAGACAATCCAAATTCTAGCTGTCGGGCCAAATCTTTAGGTTTATGTTGTGTCACCTCGTGGACTTGATTGCTGAGATGCAGTGAGCGGCTGAGGCTGAAATAACACAGTTTTATGCATAGTTAGGGCCGGTACGTGCATTCGGCTGCAAGATCGCGCTCCAAACCTTGGAGATTTTGGTTATGATCTCAATAGAGTTGGTCTATTGCAACTTATGTGATTTGACATGTAGGACTGCTTTTTTTCCAAGTTCTTGATCATGTTTCCTCACCGAGTTTTCTAAGTCTCTATGTTGTACTGATGACCGCTCGTTCATTTGTGGCTTGTTACGCCACGATTAAGATCGTGTAACCATGTTAGTACCAAAGCTACTAGATGTGGCATCTACTGAAATGTTCATTTTTCATTCCTAGGTAGAGCCAATTGAATATGATATTCTCAGCCCCTATCATATATTGTACACAGTCGCCCACACCGCTCTTCCTCTCTTGGGTTTAAGGTATTGCTGAAGATGATGCTTGTCGATTATACTGAGTTAGAAAACTTAATACGTAGTAGTATGAATATAAATAATCCCGTCACTGTTTTTAGGCATTGAATTTAACGCAAGCTCATCCTGGAGATTCGAGTGGGAAGACGGAACCTTGAAATATAGTAAGAACAGGGATTACCCATACATACATACTATGTGGAGGATATTGACAAGCAGTTTAGATAAAAAAAATAAGCCAACATGCATCCATGCATATGTATAATGCAAGCTCAACAATAGGAGCAGCTGAAAAGCGGTGGGCTGGAAACAGGGATAGATGATATACAATATACTATGGAGTACGGAGTACAGTTGTATAGATATTCATAATCTGTCCAAAAAGCAGATTTATAATCCTGGACATCTACGAAGTAGATTTTCCAAAATCGTGGAATCAATATACATACCAGGCTGCCTGCTACAGGGATCTAGTCGGAGAAAGTACGGCGAGTATGAGTACAGGATACCGGACCTTGTATAGTAATTTGCTAGATGGTAACGGTCAACGATACATACACCGTAAGTTTCACATCGATCTAATACGAAAGCCCACTTAGCCTGGGGCATAAAAGAGAACGGCCCAGGAACGCTCGTCGATGGGGCGATATGGGAGCAATGAACAAACAAAGATATGAGCTCCGCGCACATCCCCACCCATCATACTCCACAGTTCATTTCGTCCGAGGTGAGAATCCACATGGACGAAAATCCAGGCTCCATTAATCCTCTTAATCCTCTAAACCCTAAGCCGTCCGGAACAGTCTCCGTGCGATGTATACAACTAGAAAGCCACCAGAAGGCGATGCGGGACGCATACAGCTAGCGGATTGGCTGGCACATTGACGCGCAACGGTCCAGACGGCACTCCATACTTCCTTCCGGGATTATGGGCTAGTCTGCGCCTCTGTTCGCCCTCTTCCATATCCCCGACGCCACCAACAGATTATACATGATAGCTTATGTTACCTGTCGAGCTGTCGAGGGCGAAAGAGCGGCACATCAAATGTGCCGGCAGTACTCCGTACGGGGTACTCCGTATACGCCCTGTAGATACTAACCGGGGTTGGGACGCCATATGCGACGTATTTCTTTGTCACTTGTCCAGGATCTGAGATATTAGATTGGGACGGGCGATTATCGGATCCAGAGAGCCCAGATTCGATCAGGCAGAGCTTGACCCAGAAATTGGACCACATTTTCCTTGCTTTTTTGGCGTACCCAAGGGACTTTGGTTGTGTTCGCGGAAGTGTTTCCGGTCCCAGGGACAAAGACTCGGGTTGCCTTAGTGGAGGATCGTTCGGTCAGGGGCTTGGGGATTTACAATGCGTCTTTTTTTTTTCTTTTCGTGGAGTTTGATGCACCATGTGGTCATAAATCCACTTTATGAAGTATAATGGAGACAGCATTAATTAATTGAATACACTGAGCCGTGTTATATTGGTAAAATGGTAAAAAACACCAAATAGCAACATGGTGTTACAGCTATCTGTTCTGCCTTAAAATCAATAGTTCGATACCCTCCTCAAATGCCGATGGAGGGGCGGCTGTGCCGCAGTTGCAGAGTTAAGTTCGAGTCTAGAATTGGGCTTGAAGGTCACCGTCTCGGGGAATGCACAAAGAATCGTTCAGATCCCCGGCTCGATTTCTCTGTTTAATGTTGCACGTGCTTGAATTGCAATGCGGGACTAAACAGCAATCCCCTGTCAACACCCCTAAAATGAACCTGGCCGTTGCGCAATGAGCAGGGGTTTGGGATTATGTGGGGATGAAAACTAGCCGGGCCTATCGGAAAGACAGCCATGGCAAAATGATCCACGAGGACTAGAACACAGTGGCGACAACAAGGCTATTTTCTTGGCTTTTAGGACGGAATAATGTGGATGTACTCCGTATATATGTTGTATTGCCCACGGGTGATGGATCTGTTGTCTCATAGGGACATTAACTTCGTCCCGCTAAGAGGGGGGGGGAATCAATGGTTTGTTTGTAATGTAAAGTGCTATGGACTCCCCACACTCGCGCCATTTTCCTTGGGACGGGATAAAAGGGGTTTATGACAGGTGTTTGACTGTACCATCATCAGTATGTTGTATAGTGCAGGACGACACGTTGGAGGGATCATCCGCGACGCGATAGAGACGCCTGGTCGCGTTAAGGACAATCTAATATCATAGAGTAGTCCGTACTCCGTACAGTTTATTTTTACCCAAAAGATATATATATCATTAATCTTAGGCCTTATTGAGCAGAATGTTGCATGAAGATGCCTCGGCAACGAAAAGGAAAAAAAAAAAAAAAAAAAAAAAAAAAACAAAAACAGAGAATAGGGGGTGTCACGTGGAGCATTCCTTCACAATCAGAATTTCCATGTTTCTATTCCTGTTCCTCGACTCCGTAGTTAATGATGTATTGGTCTTCAGTTAATCTATTAAGCATTGAAATGGAGAGAGTCTCATTTTTAAAGCTCCACGAGATGAAACAACCCACTGTTGACCTCCACTGTTTCCTGAGATAGCTATTCTCCTCCGTACTACTCGGTACAGCATGGTCTTCTCTACACATAGCACACGACTCTTGATTTACCCGGCTTACCTAGAAGTTGTGAACATGGATCCTGCGTCATTCTGTGAGTATACGGTCTTGAGGTTCGACCAGTTAATTTTTTCAACGGCAATTTTCATTTACAGTTCTTCTAATCAGGAACCTTGACGCTGTTCTATACCGTTTAACCGAAAATGAGAATTCAAAGCCCGGCATCTCTACGGAGTACGAGGATTTACCTATGTCGGCTCACCAGCGGAGCTTTAGCTTTTCGTTCTTTATGACCGAAGAAATGCCTTCACTCCACTTATCACCGCCGATCTTTGCTTGGCTGGAGTATCGGGTTATTATGGATGATTTTATAACATACAACTGTTGTACACAGAAACAAGGCCCGTTAAATTATTATCATACATTCTAGATTTCCCCGAGACTCTTATACTTCGTATCTTGTTTAGCAAGCTTGGGACCTTACATTCCTTCTTCCCCACCTGGGAGGTTTCCCCAAGAGGAGATTCTCCGAGCGATCATCCTTGGGCAATACAGTAATACCTGCTTATGTGCCTGAGATGTGATAGTGATTAGCTTGCAAAACCTCAGTCTGTGCCACTCAAATAATCACCAAATAAACAAGTAACCAAATAAACAAGTATTGCCAGGAAACAAAAAAAAGAAAACTAGAAAACAGTGCTCATGGCCCAAGTCTCTGCAGATTCGAAGTCCTTCGCGCCATTGATTCTGTCTTGTGAACCTACGAATACAGGGGCGAGTTTCTACTCAGTGTCGCGCATATCGGACAATCTGCCCTGTGGTTCGCCCGATTTCGTGGTCGCGGGAAGATTGGGGTAAGCCACTCTTCTCGGAGCGAATCCAACTTTGAAGTTATGGCAGTCGGTGTCAGCTTTGAGTTAGGCAATGATCGTGGGAGACTAGAAAAAGCAAATGGTCCCGTCCAAGGCCCATGACGCTGGGTCGTCATTTCCACTCGATCCGGTTTGTATCCATTTTAGGGAAGTAATCACCATCATAGGGGTATTTGCTTCCCCTTTCCATTTTGGAGTGACTTTGCGAATACGGGAAGATGAAATAGGCATCGCAATTATGTACGTCCCCGGAGAAGTTCTCCAGTACAAAATGTACACGCGCCAGCTCGTTGGCCCAATCGATGCAATTCCATCACACTATGGATACTGTCAGTAATCAAAAAGTACATATTTTGCGGCTATCTCGGAGAACTAGAATATGATTTGATATTACTCCGTAGTAAATACATCGATTCAACTACCTAGTAAATATGTCTATAGCTTTTATCAATTCCTTTTAGGTTGGTGGGTATCTCAATTTATGTAGAATCATGTTAGTAACTGCTACAATAGGTTAATCCCGTCGGGGCTCTTGCGTGAAAGGCTGAAGAATGTATAATCTCTATTCTCTATTCTATATCTACGATCTAGCTAGCTAACAACATGTATGCAGGATAACATGATCGGAAACGGAGGCACGGTATCGGAATCAGAAGCAAATGTGTATGCCAAAATCAGGAAATAAATAGTTCCGTGAACAAAGGAAGTAGTTTATGGATAGAAGAGATGAAGATAATATGGTGGACAAAAGATCCGGAAAGGGAAATCCCCAATCAGTGAGGATTCGGAGGAAATGAAGGGCTTTTAGAAAAAGATGAAGAAATGATCAGCCTACTCAGCCTTCTTCGAAGCCTTAGTTCTCAGCTTCATGAGACCGAATACCAAAGCGTACCCGCTGATGGCGAAGATGACCGAGATACCGATATCTCTCCATCCAGTAGTGTAGCTCAGGATGTTGAGGTTTTTCAGGAAATCACTTCCGTCCGTATATTGACAGACCTTGCAGGCCTTTGTAGCATCAGGGTTGATCAAGTTGATACTGTGGCCAGCGCCGGATATATAATCCGCCAGGTACTCCATGCAGGTCGTGCCGTTGAGCGGCTCAAAGAAAGCGAACTCATCCTCATTGCAGGTGACCTTGGCACCCCAGATGCCGAAGGTCAGCATGCCCGAGACAACGTAGTTGAACGGATTGAGGTAGTACATCCAGTACCGCCAGAACACGTTGAGCTGCATATACGGAACGAAAATACCACAGAACAGGACAAGAGTACTGATGATCAGGGGGTTCACCAGTGCAGCAAAGGTCGGGTTAGGTGAATAGGCGGCGATGAATTGACCAATACCAGTGTAAATGAGCTCGTAGATCAACATCATGAAGAATGTGGCGCCAGATCTGTCCGAGTCATGAGGAAGTCTCCAGACGGGGTAGTACCAACAGGCAAAGTAGAGAACCGCACAGATGCAGAGATATGGAAACTCAGAAACAATCAGTGCGGTGACAAAGGCAACCCATGAGTACATCTTTGACTTCTTCTCACGGGTGTCGTATATATCACGGCGCTGGATGAAGAGAGGTTGGAGTTGGTTGATGACGCCGGGAGCGACGAAGACAAAGTTGAAGATCGTGAACATCTTTAGGTTCAATGCCGACACACTTGGGCCGGGGCGCCAGAAGGAGAAACCATTGAGTAGAGCAGAGATAATGTGAAGGGAGAACTTGTTGTTGACATAGTTGGTGTTGCGGAAAAGGGCGATATTCATCCGCCGAGTGACAATTTTGGTCTGCTCCCAGAGAGGAGTAGAGAATTCGAATCCGTCATCGACTGTTCCGGGGGGGTTGGCAGCTGCTTCCGTAATCATTCTGTCCAGTTCCGTAATCATGCGAGTTTGCTCCGGGGAGTCGAGCCAAATCTGATGCCAGTCCTTGTCCTTAACGGCCTCGATGCCGCCAGTAACAACATCAATCATGAACTCAGCTGCGTTGGCCTCAGTAGGGCACTTGGCCCCATATTGGCCAAAGTATTGCTTAACGCAGGCTGCGTTATCACCAATGTCTCCGAAATATACTGTCTTTCCGCCCTTTGCAAGGAGAAGGAGAGTGTCGAATTGAGCGAAGAGCTGCGCTGAAGGTTGATGAATGGTAACCTATAATGTGACATGTTAGCAATACAATCTTGCAGCTGCTGAATTGAAAAAATCGAAGGCTCACTAAAACAGCTTGACCAACATCAGCCAATTTGCGAAGGAAACGGACGGTGTTATAGGCCGATTGTCCGTCCAAACCTGAGGTGGGCTCGTCTAAGAAGATCAGAATGCTAGGCTTCGACACTAGTTCCACGCCAATTGTGACACGCTTTCTTTGCTCAACGCTGAGTCCATTCCCAATACTACCGATGAGAGTATCCGCTAGGTCATGGAGCTCGAGAAGATCAATAATAGTGTCAACATACTTAAGCTTATCTGCCTTAGAAGTGTGGCGAGACTGGCGAAGGAGAGCAGAGAATTCTAATGCTTCTCTCACAGTTGCGAATGGTTCATGAACATCAAGTTGTTCGCAGTATCCCGCCATTCTCTGGAAAGACACCGGCAGCTCACGCCCATCAACCATAATAGAGCCGTTGATAGTACCGTCTGTCTTTCTCTGAGCAAGTACATCGAGCAGTGTTGTTTTCCCGGCGCCAGAAGATCCCATAAGGGCGCCGAGCATGCCGGGCTTGACCCATCCGTGAATATTATCCAAGAGCACTCGATGACCCGTAGGGGTTTGGACAGTATATGTGAGATTTCTCCAGGTAAAGATTGACGTGTTCTGGGATAGGTTTTGATCATCAACTTGGACGGGCCTATTCATGGTTTCGCGGGTAGCAGTCTTCTCGTTGCGTTGTGCTTCTTCATCTAAGACGGCGGCGTGGTGTTGCTTGAGTTTCTCACGGGGAATGAGAAGAGCAGCACCAGAGCCAGCACCTGCTTTCCAGTAGGATGTAAAAACAATTGTCAGGATGGCAAAGAATCCCCACCAGGCCCAGACGACGCCGAAGTTCCGCCACATTTCAGAGTACTTGTAGTGAAGGGATCCAAGATACTGATCGCCGGTCACATAGTTGGCGCCTGGCAAAGCACCACCAACACCCGCACAAGCTTGGTTCTCAACTCCAACATCCTCGTAACCAGGGCCACTTGGAACTAGGTTTTTACCAACACAAGGGATATGGCGGCCATGGAACTCGTTTGACATAGCAGCTTGGAAGGCATAGGCAAAGGGGTTCGTGTAGTACAGCTCAAGAAACCAGTTCTTCATCTGAGGCTTAGGGATCATATAACCGGCGTACATGACAATGCCTTTGACTGCAGTTCCTGAGATCTTTGACGCAGCTTCGAAGGTACTGAAAGCGGATCCAATAAATCTGAAGAGAGCGGTAATGCACTGAAGATGTAACAGTTAGTCCAGAATCCATCAGCCGCAAGAATGAAATAAATGAAACGACCACTTACCAGAGTTGTCGTGAATAAGATAACCCAGAAGATAAAGAAAGCAGCCGCTGTATGTTTCAGTCCAGACATCCAATAGATCACAACCGAGAAGATAGTGCACTGGAAAAAGAGAACCGGGAAATCGGCCATAATCTGGGCTAAGGAAAACGCAGCTGGGTGGTACATAGCGAAGCCCTTGTGTTTGATCAAAACCGGACGGCCCTTGAAAGATTCAGTGACTTCGGACATTGCAACGATGCAGTTATACAACAGTGAGAAGAAGACAGCACCGCCTTTGGTGAAGAGACCTGCAGAGGTATCTGGCGAGTCATAGAAGCAGGAGCCAGCAATCAAGGCCATCGCACATGACAGAATCTGTTTTATGATAAATGTTGACTTCTCACCCCATAGAATCTGGTACTGTCGCTTGGTACATGCGATGAGCTGAGCCCAAAAGCTGGTAGTCAGACTACTACCCCGAGGCAAGTGGTAAGACTTCTCCCAAGAAACAGATTCTTTGAATGCATTTGTGCGCTCGCGGCTGATTTCGGTGTCAGGATAGTCATATGATGAGACCATACGGTGGTAGGTGCTGGACTTTTGGTATTCAGCCAAAATGGCATCTGCGTTTCTAGGAAATGTGTCCTCACAACCAGATCTAATTCTGCGCTCTGTAGGGACTGTCAACCCAGTGAGGAAGTCGCCTGTCGTTTTATATTAGTTGATATCAGGGTTGTTTGCCAAACGTCGGAAGACTTACCAACGTTTGCTCCATCAGTATAGATAAAGCCTAAATCTTCCATAAAAGGCTTAGCTGCAGCTGCAGGGCCGTAGTAGATCTGCTTTCCTTCGTCAAGAACAAGGACCTTGTCGAAGAGATTGTAAATTCCGTTTCCTGCTTGATATAGCGTCACAATGGTGGAAAGGCCGAGAACATCAGTCATAGCACGAAGAGCCTTTGCCCACTCCAATGCGGTGCTGGCGTCCAAACCACGGGTACTGTTATCCCAGCAGTAAACAGAACCCCTTGTCGCGAGACACTCGATAATAGAGACTCGTTTCCGCTCGCCACCGGATACACCACGGACGAACTCATTTCCAACCTTAGTATCAGCTGTATGGGCAATTCCCATAGACTCTAGAAGGAACTGTTTCGTTTCGGCCGTGTATTCATCGACACTTTGGACTCCATGTGGTAGATGGAAAGGAACCTTGAGTCTAGTTGCAAAGTCCACAGTCTGAGCTACTGTCAAGCGGGGGTAGAAGAGCTCTTCTTCCGTGTTCATCACAATCTGACCAGTGTAGTCTTCAGCTTCCTTGGGAGACATGTTTCCGAAGCGTACTTCGCCATTCACAGTGTGATAACCTTCGCGGCGGTTTGATAGCATCTTGAGCAGCGTGGTGCATCCCGAACCAGGGCGACCCAGCACAAGTAGCATTTCTCCGGGCTTGACGCATCCATGGCTGTCGGACAGGATCGATTTAAGTGGTGGCTTTCGGCGAAAATCCTTAATCAACTGAGGGACGTTTAATTGCGAGATCATGTTTTCGTTGACGGCGGCTTCGGCAGCAAGAACATCGACAGTTAGGCCTTGCCATGTAACACCTAGCTCGCGCCTCTTGAATCCGGCCGCTTCGTCACGTTCTGCATTCCGGATCACCTGCGGCGTCATGCTCCACTCTGCAGTCTTCTTGGCGGGCAGGCAAGTACCAGCATTGTCAACAGTCAGAGTCTCGGCACTCTTTGCTTCGTGGATATTGGCCTGGGGTATATGTAGAGTCTCCATGCTAGTGAAATCGTGAGTGTTGAGCTTGTGGATAGGTGCGTCGCCGATATTTTGAGTATCCTGTTCGTATTCATTGTGGTACTCGCTGTGCAGCGAGGCATCATGGAGGCCTGAATGCTGCTCCATAGTACGAGGCTTTGAAACGGTGGGGATTGGCCAAAGGGAGTAAAATTTAATTATTTCTAGAACAAGTTATTTGGACTGGGAGGACTCGCATATTTATCCTACAAGACTCCTCAAAAGGGGCGAGTCATTATACATGCCGACTCCAGATCCGAAGGATAAGAGATCTCATATCTGGCATTGAACAGTGGCCGATTATTGGCTGAAACAATATTATACTACGGGTCTGTTCATTATTCTTGCTAATGCACTGGCTACACCTATTGTTTCACCCCTATCAATAGATTCATAGATCCACAGGGACCTGGAAAGCCCGGCACACAGGCCGAATTCCATGGTGGAACCCGCTTTAGGCAAATCTTGGATCGAATGGACTCTTCGGGCCTCATTCAATCACTATTCAACAAGGTAACCACTGGTAGCCGGAGAGATACCCGATCCATCCGACTTTTATTATACATCAATATATGAGGCTTTTAGGGCTTCACTGTACAAAGTATTATGTTTTGCTTCGGTTAACTAAAGCCCTATGTAGGAATCAATCGTTCCCACTTCTCGTCTTAGAGTGGGTTACTGTCTGCTGCAAATTTCCGGTGATACTATCGATATGAGGGACTACCGTATTAGCGGGTTTATGTTTGTATGATTCTGAATGAAATTCAAGTTGTTAGACACTCGAAGTTCCTCGAAGAATCGTTAACTTGTCTGGATCAACAAATGCTGAGGCCCAGATGCATTCTATGGATAATCCCGATAACGGGTTCCCTGACGATCCCGATCTACCCGGGTCTTATCTAGCCGACTTCTTAGCCGACCAGACCGGTCCTATGTCTTCCCAATTAGGAAATACGCGCCTTCGTTTCAAACCAGGAAATTTGCGACTGTTTACCTTGCGCTTAAAAATATTCTCTTTGATATTTCGTTCAAGAATCAACACTCGCTCTGTATAGTATTCTGCTACAAATCGAACCTTTAGACTCGAATTGGACACACTAGGTAAGGTACAGACCTCTGATCTGGTTGTTAGTGAGAAGTGAGGTCCCGCAGCGGGGTTACCTATGTAGCCTTGCGCTGTGCCGGTAGCCGTGCTTCGGACAGCAGTGTACATATGAGCCATACTCATATTAGTCACTCTACACACATATTTACAACATCAAGATCCTCCATCTCATACTAATCTATGGTTATAAACCTGTTTAATAAAACCAGGTTTTGGTTTTTATTGATTCAAGGGACTTCATCCCTTGATTGAGCAGCATCTCACCACCACATCACGTTTTAAATAATCTATTTGACATGTCTAGAAGCAAAAGATATATATTTTACGCTATAATACTAATATTTCCCATGTAATAATTACTCGCACTAATCATATAATTTGCTATACCTACTAGATGTCAGATATATACATAAACACCTGTGGACTCCTAAATTCCAGACGCGTACCTGAAATTCCTCACGGTGAGCCAAATCTTCCCAGCACCTTCAGGCCATTGGAATGAGCTATGTAACTCCATGTTTCTGAAGCTTCTGGCATGAGGGACTTAGCCCTAGGATGTAGATAAGAAAGCACCCTCTTTTCTAACACAATCCAAGCGTATCAAGCACTTTCCAAAGGGTTATACCTAGCCAAGTATAATACATGTAGTAAGTGACCCCTTCAGATACATACATAGATTGTTAATATGTACAATTCCATCTTGTAGATTCGATTACTAATGGAGATGCCACAGATTTATATATATATATATATATATATATATATATTCACATGGAAGTCAACACGAATTTACATCAATTCAAAAAAGACAAAAGACCATCCCAACATGAAACTCATTACAATAATTGGCGCCCTCTCCTTCTCAGCTCTAGTAGCAGCAACCCCGGTCCCACGAAGTAGCCGACCAATCATACCAACCCTGAAAGTCGTGGAGAAACTGATCCCTGGCTCAGGGATTCCACTACTGGCAGGGAAACTTGAGAAGACACTCGATATTTGTACGTGGTTTTACTTCACAGCGGTAAGATGTTGGCTAATCTATCTCTAGAATTGTGTTTGCCCTATTACTGTGTACCGAAGCCCAGTATGAGGTTTTCTTGTGTTTAGAATTGAATATGCTATAAGGCTATGGGGCTGATGCTGCTTTGTTTTTTTTCTTCCTGTGGGTTGTTCAGCTAGTCTGCAATGATGCTCTTTATTCATTTATACGTAGTAATGCGGCAGTGTCCAAGGTTTAATTGTCATCCAAATGAATCATTAGCAAACATGCCTAGGTAGATCGAACAAAATGACGAGCCAAGATTGGACATTGTGAATCCATAGATGCCAAAGATACGCAACTAAAACATGCCCTCCATATCCAAATCAAGGAACTCGGGATTTCCAACCGCCATATCCGCCGCATTGAGCACATCATCAATCGCATCCATGCCAGCCCCAGAATCAAGACCCATATCCTGGCCCACACCAATACCACCATCCATCCCCGCTGCCGCATCCGCTGCCGCCTTATCTAACATCTGATTGATATTATCTGGATCGTCCTCATTGGCTGTATTACGTGAAACATCGGGAGCAGAAGGTTCAAGATCCATCCGATCCTCCTGCCCTTCAACACCAAGATGCATATTCTGAATGATATTGGAGACATCAATATTCGAGACCTGCGACGGCGGCGCCATGAGCATATTAACCCTGCGCGCGAGCCGCACCACGACTTCCGCGCGTAGCGGATCACTCTCAAAGATCTTCGGCACGTTCTCATGTTGCAGTGACAAGGCGTCGCGCAATGTCAGAATCGTGCACCGCGGCAAAGCTTCCTTGCTCGTATCGACTGGGTGGTAGTTGTTCTGATCGACGGCGAAGGACTCCGTCATCGGAGCGCACACCATCGTCGTCGCAATGTCCAGCGCGATATGTCCGCTACCTGCTTCGGTTTGCTGCCTGACTTCATCGATTATTGCGCCTAGCACACGTGTTGCGCCCAGTATGCGGATCCCCGCCAATACCTGTCGGTGCGTGTATGCGTGTGGGGCCATGCTGATTCCTGGGCTAGCGCTCCAGAGAACTAGGGCTTGAATGGTTGTGCGAATGCTGGCTATTAACCCGCCTGCAGAGTGGGAGGTCCAGGTGTCGAGTTCAGAGCGGTGGCAGCTACCGACGCGGCGGAACGAGAGATATGGCTCTAAGGCATCTAGGATTGGTTTGATGTCTGTCCGGGATTGGTTTCTTGTTCGGACGTTTTTCAGTTGCTCTTCTAGAGGGCACCCAGTTATGTTAAGGACTGTTTGGTGGATGGCCTGGGCCTCGCCGGAGATTGAGCTGGGTTTGACTAGGGAATGGAGTGTTTTGATGGGGATTGTGGGGTCATTCTCTGATTCCCAGATGTGGTTGCCCAGCCATGTCAATGCGACTACCAGGGATGGGAGGAGGAAGGGCTCAAGCAGATCTGTATTGCGGTTAGCTAGGGTTTCAGTAGGAAGCGACCGCGCGATGATGTTCTTACATTCAAACCCGCCTTTCAAAGTATCGAAATCCAGCTTTCCGGACTCGCATGCACCGAGACTCTGATCGAATAGAGTTGTCACAAGCATGTAAAATTCGTGTGGGCTGCAAGAGGACATGGTCTCTTCACTGATGCCCTCGGCAATGAACAGAGCTCCTATCCAAGCGCTGAGGTCTTTGTTTTGCTTCTCGCTTAAATCAGTCAGCTTCTGGCTGCAAGCGCCCCGGTCCAATAGTTTCAACAAGAACGAGTCATTGTTCGAGATACCCATATCAGAAGGACTCAAGTCATAGCGGTATTTGAACGCGAGAACCAACAACAAGATGCTGCCAAACTCATCATAGACAGGCTGATTTTCGCCCTGGTCCTCGTCCCACTTCCAGGAATCAAGGACAGCGCAAAGAGGTTGCAGTACTTGCTTTGTAGTTCGGAATAGCAACATGACGTCCAAGGTTTGTGGACGGCGTGAGAGCGAGTTGCAGATGTTCTTCAGCGTCATTGTCTCTTTCTGATGGCACAAATTATGCATGACCTTGAAGAAGTTAGCATCGTGATACTCCCTTAAATGACGGATTGCATAGTCTGAAACATACATCGACCACAGCGCCAACTATTGCGCCTGCATTACCCTCCATTGACTCTATCTCGCCAATGAGTTGTTCAGCTCGTTCATGGTTGTTATTAATTTGCGAAACGAGATCGTCCTTGACATAAGGGCCACCCCCAGGCAGTGTCTGCATGGGGTTTTCTCCAAGAAGCTGTTCAATGCTGGACTCTCGAATGAGCTTGTGCGACGCACAAGCAAAGAGGAACTCCTGGCGAGCATCTGATAAAACACTGCTGCCTTGCATGGAGAACATCTGAGAGAAGGAGGGGAATGCGTTCGGGTCCAGACGGCTTAATGCGTGGCTGATGCACATTTCCATGGAGATCGGCACCATGGATGCTGCTGATATGGCTGCGAAAAAGGCGGGAAGCTTGTTAACGAGGAAAGATCGGAACAAGAGCATCGTGCGGTTGGATTCATTGCGATATACACCGTTGGAAAGGACATCGAAGGCGGCTGTGATGATTTCTTCGATGAGAACGTCATTGTGGCCCTGGTGAGGTTAGTTAAATGATCTGAGTCACCCTAACAAGTGAGAAAGAAATGATCCAAATCACTCTGACTGGTAAAGAAGAAATGAATTGTGTTGATTGGGCTTACCTGATATCGATTGGTGAGGTAGTTGATCAAAATAGTATCATCGACTAAAGGACGTCCCACAACCTGATGCTAGTCAGCGATGAACTCAATATTGCAAGGGATGAGAGAAGCTTACCATCGAATTGATGTAAACATAGAGTCCAGCTCTAGTGTTAACAACTGGGCCATCCATAACAGAAGACTCAAACTGGAGGGCATTGACATTCACGCCATCAATAGCAGGCCCATCTAAAGCCTTAGAAGACTGACCGGGGTAAAGGTTGAATACTTTCTGCAATTCTTCGAGGCGA